AGCCCTCATATTTTATGACCTAGAGCAATATGTGCTGCATCAAAATGATGCAAAATTGATACAAGATTGCTATGCATTTATTTTTTATGCATGTTTGTTGGGTATATTTTAGAAGTCATTTTTCTACTTAAACATGAATCGTACGCCCTCTAGCGGCGAAGCTAAAAACTTGAAAATAATTTCCAGCGATTTCTTTTGGCTCCTTTTGTTAACATAATTTTTTTCATGAAGCGCTGCAATTAAACGTTTCCATAGATATGGCCTGTGACCATTATTAATGGGACAGCGTGTACAAATAAACTGGCTTTATAAATAAATATATTTGTTAATTACTGCTTTTGTAAGCTTGGTAAGCCTGTACCGCAACCTTTGTCACATATTACCTTTATGGATTTTGTAGACTGAACATGCACTTCATGGAAGCACTTCCGAGGAGGGTCACTGTGTGTTATTACGTAGATATTCGTGCATGGCTCTCACTAATCTCACATTTGGTGATAGTGGCAATAAGGCTTTGTTGTGTTCTTTTCGACAATTTATGCGGGTTTTAGTTCTACAGCTTCAGAGTCCATGCGACGAATTAAGACAGGTAGGCCTGATGCTTTTTTAACGTCGATTCTCATGTAGTTATTGTGTATGACTTTTCAGGTGACTGCCAGTGTCTTACGAAATTTGTCGTGGCGTGCTGATTCAACTAGTAAAGAAATATTAAAGGAGGTCGGCGCAGTTACGGGTCTAATGAAGGCGGCTATGATAAACAATAAGGAAAACACTCTGAAGTCGATTCTTTCCGCTCTTTGGAATCTTTCGGCACATTGTCCGGAGAGCAAGTCAGAGATATGCTCAATAGATGGAGCTTTAGGATTTTTAGTGACTATGCTGAGCTATAAATCGCCGACCAAATCGTTAGCTATAATTGAAAATGCAGGTGGTATCTTAAGAAACGTTTCCAGTCAAATTGCTGTGCGAGATGATTATCGGGAGCTGTTACGAAATCACGATTGTTTAAGAGTATTATTAGATCAATTGAAATCGCCTAGTTTAACTATTGTAAGTAATGCCTGCGGGACATTATGGAACCTATCCGCAAAAAATCAAACGGATCAAGAGACCCTGTGGAAAATGGGAGCGCCTACGATGCTCCGCAGTTTAAATCATTCCAAGCACAAAATGATTGCTATGGGATCGAGTGCAGCTCTAAAAAACTTACTGGCGTCTAGACCGACTCACAATCTGTTACCATCCATGGACGCAACCGCAAAAGCCATGGATTTACCTGTGTTACCCACTTTAGGCGCTCGTAAGCAAAAGGCTTTATTTCAAGAGTTGGAGCAAAACCTAACAGAAACATTTGAAAGTACAGACAAAGAATCACCCACAAAAACTGGCCAAGAAGAGCAGTTTCTACTGGAAACCGCCAATGCAGTACTAACCGTTAGCAACAATGGTGACATTAATAAAACGTACAAACGTAAATCCTTGCAGAACGATTCTCACGACAGCAGTCTCATTGAGGCCTTTAAGAATTTAACGATCGATGAACCTTCGACAAGTTTCTCAAATAGATCTAGAGTCCTACAAGATTACGGTAGTTCGAGTTTACCCTACATTAAACCGCCGCTATCTTACTCTTCTCCCCTTCACAAATACTCGGATTTGTCGTACAAAGAAGAACAATATAGTCAAAATTCGCAGGTCCTAGATGACGAAAATTTCGGAATTTACACCGAGACAGATTTAGATCAACCCACAGATTATTCCTTGCGATACGCCGAAGATGACTCGGAACCCGACGATATGTGTAATAAGAAGGCAGAAGGGACGGATTTCGTTCAAGATACCGTTAAGACGTATTGCACCGAAGATACTCCTTACGAAACGCCCTTCAATTATTCCACGGCAACTTCTATGTCAGATTTGCGCGAGACCGGGTTAGAAACCGAGAAGTCTATTATAGATAATGATAAATTGGTCAAGTCGAACTTGAATTCCATCAAGAACGCGTCAATGTCACAATCCGACGAAAAGGATCATTGCTCTGTGGAAGATGTCTCTGAAATAGATAATGCACCGAAAGTTATTACTAAGAATCTTAAATCGCAATTTAGTTCGGGCTTAGCATCTCCAGAAAAGCCGGTTAATTATGCCGACGAGGGTACTCCGGGGTATTTCTCACGAGTGAGTAGCTTTAGTTCTTTGAATTCCATGCAAGTTGGGGATAAGGTGAAGTACGAATTGGATAATAAGGAGGTCGACACGAGACAGGAGGTTCATGATGATACTGTTCCACAAAAGAGTGAGGTGCATCCAGAAGGAAAAGCTGTTAAATTCGAGCAAGTTGTGAATTACGCCGAGGAAACTCCGCTTATGTTTTCGCGAAGTAGCTCGTTAGCGTCATTGGATAGTATCGAACAACATTCAATACATGATGATCGAGAGTCTGTAATATCAGATTTCAGGTAAGTTTAAGCAACTCATCTGCTCAAAAACCCCTTCTCTCAAAATAACTATCACTACTACAGGAGGTGGCTTTAGCAAGTTAACTGCAGCTATTTTGGAATCCTATCATTTCTGTCAACGTTGATATGAGTCAAGTTATTTTTAAAAAAATCATTTGATTAAAGCCTGCGATTATTTTATTGGCGAAATTTAAAATTCAAATAAAATGCACCAATCACAATCAAACAGCGTATTTATAGAGGAGTCTTTTTTCAATCTTGGAAAGATCAGTGCATTTGATGCTTTTTTGATAGTATGGGAATAAAAATTAAGGTTAAATATATTACACCATGCTATTAAACTTATTAAGGGGTTAGTCACATCGCCTAAAAGGATAAAATGTATAACTTGAGAATGATGTGAAATTTGGGTCCTTCTTGATAGAAATTTGGCATATACAGCTTTTTTCTGTGAAACAAAATCCTATTTTTTCCTGTGTCCGTTCCCGTGGGAATTTCTGAAAGTGTTTTATTAACTCGGAAACGTTCGCCGGCACACATCCAACTCAAGGTCCGACCATTCCCCAAAGTTTCATTGCAATTATATGAATGGTTTAGACAGGCATAAAAAACATTAATTTTTATATGTTGCTGTGTGCACCGGTCCGTAGGCCAAAAAGACCGTACACAAAACACCTAAACAAACGTAGCTAGCTCAAACCTTTATCTTTCTCGGAACAAAACTTTCTGGTCCAGTAACAAAAATTTAAATTAAGAAAATTGATTACATGGAAACAGGAAACCGCCCTTGTCCATCCTAGTTATGAATCCCAAAATTTCGTCCTGCCAGACGAAATAACACAGCAATGTATAGATAATAGCAGACCCGATGAACGTTGTATCGCCTATCCCGGTGAACTTTGTATACAGGATATTAAAAAAAAAGGGCGGATAGTACCTACTGAAAAGAAACAAAAAAGTTTTAATAAACATAGGTTCGCAAATAAACTGTTTCAGAGTTGATTTTGTGTGATTTTTTTAGAACTAATATGAGCTTCCTTTCAATGAAGATGTGCAACCTGTGCCCAAAACGATGGAGTACACTTAGAGCATCTTCTTTAAATATTTTACATTAAGAAACAACACTGTTTTGTTGAAGATGATACAAAATCTACTCTCTGAAACACTGAATTTGCGGACCTTTGTTTATTAAGGCTTTTTGGTTTCTTTTCATGAGTGCTATAACATTGACTAAATAATCACAATTTTCAGTTTCACCAACTCGAGAATGGCGAAAAATAAATAACATAACCTGAGATTTCGCCGAAATGAAGTGAACTTTAAGTTAACATTGTGCAAAATTTCGGGCTTCTGCCGCAAATTTTTTTTTGTAGAAAACGCCATGTTATCCATTACTGCTGCACATGTCTGATGTAAAGCTATACAAAATGTAGCGGTTATGTAGATGCTCTATCCATTACGGTGCCCGTCTATTGTACAGTTATTAATTCTCCAATGATCACTTGACCTTTTCAACGCTCTTCTACACTTCTGAAACGGAAAATCGAACGCACTTGAAATTTCAAATAACCTATACCTATCACTTTTTAATTTGATAGTTTTTAATTTGACGGTTGGTATGACTGAAAACATTTGATTTGACAGTTATTTTATTAACATGTCATGAACTTGAACAAAAGTTTTGATCATATACCTCTTATTTGAAAAACTTCACAAGCTGTAGCATTGAAAGTTTCTTTAATGGTCTATGATTTTGGGTGGTAAGTATGAATTAAATTTTACAGGGTGTTCCTAAATATGAATGGAAGGAGCTACTTCTTTAGATTTTTTTATGATTATGGTTAAAAATTGATATAAACAGTTCCGCAAACGTTTCGTTACCAGGGTGTTAAAATTACAAGATTTTTTAAATTTATTCATTATATTCTGCAGTTTTTGAGATATTTCGCTAAAATTTAAATATGTTACACTGAACGGCTTACAACATTGGTCATGTCAATGCTAGTGAGAATCTACAAGGTGTTGATTTTTCAGGGGATATGTTCTTTTTTCTACCTCTGAATTTTTTTCGTTGCGCCACTGGTAGATTGTGAAATAAGAATTCAATTTTCTGATTTGTATAGATCATTTTTGAGCTCTTGTAATTTTTTGGTATCTGTAATCGTTATCGAGAAAAAAAAGTCAATTTTCGCTTGTTACATACCTAAATGAAAGGCATTATTTGGATAATCAGCTCTGTGATGTATCATTATTAACGTTAAACTTAACGTGCAGTTTATCTGTCCAAAACGTCATTTTCCTATACTAAATAACGCAAAATAACGTTTTTTGGCAGATAATTTGCACGTTAAGTTTGACGTTTCTGATACATCACAGGGCTGAATATCTTGTTTTTACAGTTGGCATTGAAAATTGTATTGTTTGCATACATGCAAAATTAAAGGTTTAAACTGTAAAGTGTCTGTTAAAACTATAACACCCTGTAGATTGGTAACGAAGCATTTGTGGACCTATCTTTGTATGAACTTTTACTCATAAAAGAACTTCTGTATTTACATCATTTTTAGGAACACCCTGTATTTTGATGTTATACCTACACTGTGTCCGAGATAAGGATGGCCATTATGAACAGTGATAGAAATTTGGTTAAATATATGTTCGAATTATTTTTTTCTGATCTAGATCAATAGTTATTTTACATAAAAGTCAGGAAAATGGCACATTACTGGCGAGGAAATATTGAAGTATAAGGGTATAAGGATATAGGGCTGGTTGTGCCACGATGACTTCAGTTCACTACAGAATGAAGAAATTTGATTGGCTAAAAATTAAAATTCACTTTAACAAAGTTTTTGAACTTGTACAACCGGGGATTCTACTCCACGATGATTCTTCAGTTTAGACAGTGGGCAAGTTCAGTTGGAAACAATTGAGCATCCCCCTACAGTTCAGACATACCACCCTGCGATTTTTAATTGTTTTGTGCACAGGGCTCAGGGCTCTACTGATTTGCTTGTAAATAAAGGTAACACATTTTTTAAACATGATCTTCAATCTCGACACCGTTATTTATGTATTTTACCCAAAATCGCCCTGTAACCTTCTTTTCCACGCCTACTTTCTGTCAGGAAATTGTAGTTTCCATGACAGAGGCAGAACAGACATTTTAAGAAGGTAGCCGTAGAAAGCATAGGGACAGTTTGACCTTCACTGTGATTGGTTAAAACACGAGTCAGTATTACCCTGAAAAATAAAACGCGTGACAAATTCTGTCTGTTTGAAGTTTCAATTACGAACTAAACTGTCGAACTATCATTAGCTGTCAATTTTAAAGATCCAAGCGTGATATCGTTTAATTTATATTAATATTTTTCAAATTTTGTGCCGTTTTATATTTTTCCTGTGTGTGTCGATCTTCAAACACAGCGCCATCTACTACCTTCTTATAATGAATGCAGTATACGTTTCCTGCCGCTTGTCACTTTACCGGCCGCATTTATGACATTGCTAACTGTCTTTTTTTGTTCTGGGTCTATAATGACTCATGTCATCACTGACAGATTGACATTAATCAAAAGTTCTATATGAAAATTGAAATTTTATATTAAAATACGGTTTCGGGTAAAATTTAATACAAAACTCGCCAGTAAAAAGTCTTTACCTGACTCGGAAATTAAAGTACTCGGCGCCAAAGGGCCTTGCACTTCAATATTTCCTCGCCATTAATGTGTCATTTTCCTGACTTATGTAAATAACTATTTCTAAACCTGGCGGTAACAATTTTATATAAACTCATTTTTCCTATTAAATGTAAACTTCCAGCTCGAAGTCGACAGCCTACAGGAACAATAAACACTTTTTTGAGTCTCGATGTTTATTCTTTACTTAACACTTACAAAGCTTGTTTGCATATAATACCCCGCACTCACACGGTCGATAAAATTTCAAAAATTCAACCGCCAATCACAATCAGACTTGATGACTTCAGCATCGCAGGAACGCGTCCCTACTTACTCCGAACTAACGCGTACATCGTAAAATCTGCATCTCCTTTATCGTCTAAACAGCGATAAAACACGTGCGTTAATTACATTTCGTCTGATAATAAAACGTCTTATCGCAAACGACAAGATAAAACCCATTATAAAGTACGCAAACTTGACCAGATGTTTATTACATTTTAGCACGCAATTTCACGTTTGCCAATTAAATACGCAAATCTAAATAAACAATTCACAAAAGCTTGAACAAGAAAATATTACGCAATTACCAACAATTCTAAAAGGAAAAAAAATATTCAAATTCAACAGATCAACTCTGTGCTTATTTTGTACATAATCCACCAGATTTAAACTTGATAAACTGAAATAATACCACATACAGGATGTCCAGTCATTATTTTTGGTATTTAGACCAAAATACTGTATAAACTTTCACTTCCTTTCTTTTACATGTAACACCCCATTTTAAATACCTGTCAACTGACTTAAAACTTTCTGGTATAAGTAGTTATTTTGATAGGAGTGGGGGTTGATAGTTTTTGTCATACACCTCCTGGAAATGTTTCCAATTTTAAATGGTATATTTATTTTCAGTCGCCTAACGAGCGGTATCGTATCACCAAGTGAACTACCCGACTCTCCCACTCAAACAGTACCACCAAGCCCGAGGCAGCCACTTCCCTCGGCACCCAGAACAGTTCCCTTAACCCATCGAACTCCGGCAGATGGTAGTCCGCAAATAAAACCCCAACCAAAGATTGTAAGCGCTTTTGAAGATAACGTTAAAAAGTTCAAGGAAGAGAGTACACCCATACAATTTTCGACCGCTACGAGTCTTAGTAGTTTAACGATCGACGATCATGAAGACGGAAGTGATGTTGTTGGTAAGATTCTAACTATAAGCAAACGTGGAGAAGTTGTAAAAAAAAGTAAGGAAGATGAAATACCGGCGGTTTCCGAAAGTGAAGAGGATGAAGATATTTTAGCTGCCTGTATCAGTGATGGAATGCAGAATAATAGGTCTGTATGTAAATGGGAATTCTTTTACCTGACTCGTAACGTTACAGGCATCATCTCAGTGGTTCTCAGCAAAATATACCTTCTCCGCTTTTTAATTACTCATCTAAGTCAATGATATGTACCCAAGGCAGTGGTATTCCGCTTCCTCATGCCCGTTCAACCACTACCAGTACAAACGATTCATCAATTCTCAAAGATAATCCATCAAGTTTACACTCCAATTCTTTCCACAACTATTGTACAGAAGATATAAATTATACAGGGGATAATTCCAATATAAGCCTTTTATCTACTGCGAGCGATATTCAAAAGAAGGACAAAGTGTACTCGTCTGACGACAGTAGCAACTTATCCGGAGATAATGAGAATATACTGGCCGAATGTATTCAATCCGCCATGCCCAAAACACGCCGGATGACTAAACCGATCGCTACAACTAGACCATTATCCGCACTGCCCGTCAGAAACGTTCAAACCAGTACGCCGATTAAACCGTTTACACGAATTGAGCATCCAAATTCCACGAGATTGGAGGAACTGAAACGTCCATCACCGTCCGTATATTTAAGTGCGAAAGATGAAGTGGAGAACTATGCCGTCGAAAACAGCCCTTGTCAATTCTCCTTGCATTCTAGTCTTAGTGATCTCACTGTGGATGGAAGTGTGGCGGGCGGTTTCAGGTAAGACATTAAATCAACATTACCACGTTTAGCATTTACTTATGGTATTGAACTATTGTAACACTTAATAAAGATCAATCATCATTCTCCAAATGATATGTATTTAATGTAAATGCAAGTGAAAATGACTTCAGTTATTTAATTACTTTTTTTATTAGAAATGTCACTTGTCTGCAATTTTCCATTCTGAATTATCAGAACTGTAAAACACTTGCATCGCTTATCTCGCGCGTGACATTGTGGAAAAACCAATTAATTCTTGTTCGATAATAACTTTTTATCAACACCTGACCAGATAAAACTTTAATAATAATAGTAGTAGTAGCATTTATTGTTTGAACAGGTTACTACCCAAACAATTGAACAAAATTATTAGGTTTATCGCACAATAGGTGCGCGAAGGAACAACTATAATAGAAAACAATTGAAGGTGTCTCTGATATTTGATATGGAGTTGTATGTGGAGCATACTTTATAAATAGTCAATTTATATAATATCCTAAATGGGGCTGGGCTTCAATTGTCATTTCTCCATTTTTAGAACGTTAATCTGGCATGGCAAAATTACACTGACTGTGTTTACTGTATTCATTTTAACAAGGTAGCGGTATAAAGCATAGGGAAGCTTTGAACTTCACTGTGATTGGTTAAAACACGAGTCAAAATTACGCTGAAACGTAAAACGAGTGGCGAATTTTGCAAGCTTATCTTCAAATACAGCGCCATCTACTACTTTCTTATAATGAATGCAGGCTAGGACAGTGGCGACAACTTATCATAATCCGCCTTATTGGAGCTAAAAAAAATGTCAGATCAAAAGTTACAGCCCTTTGAATTTTTTTTCAAATTGATTTCTACTCTATAACTTTTGATTGAGAAGTCTGATCGAAAAAGTACGAATTGATTTGGATTCTACGCACACAAATTAATAAGAAAAAGTGTTTTCCCGAGAAATTTTGGTGTAGTCGATTTTTGGTAAAAAAGGAAGGTTATACACTGCCTTTTTTTGAGCGCCGAACAAAAAATTGTCTCAGATCGACCGGGAAAAAACATTTTCTTATAGAATGTGGCCCACAGAATCCATAATTTCAAACATTTCCAAGATCGGGCTACTAGATCAAAAGTTACAGCCCTTTGAATTTTTTTTCGAAATTGGTTTCTACTCTATAACTTTTGACTGAGAAGTCTGATCGAAAAAGTACGAATTGATTTGGATTCTACGCACCCAAATTAATAAGAAAAAGTGTTTTCCCGAGAAATTTTGGTGTAGTCGATTTTTGGTAAAAAAGGAAGGTTATACACTGCCTTTTTTTGAGCGCCGAACAAAAAATTGTCTCAGATCGACCGGGAAAAAACATTTTCTTATAGAATGTGGCCCACAGAATCCATAATTTCAAACATTTCCAAGATCGGGCTACTAGATCAAAAGTTACAGCCCTTTGAATTTTTTGTCGAAATTGGTTTTTTGCCCATAACTTTTGACTGAGACGTCTAAGCGAAAAAGTACGAATCGTTTTGGATTCTACGCACCAAAATTAATAAGAAAAAGTTTTTTCCCGAGAAATTTTGGTGTAGTCGATTTATGGTAAAAAAGGAAGGTTATACACTGCTTTTTTTGAGGCCCGAAAACAAAAAATTGTCTCAGATCGACCGGGAAAAAACATTTTCTTATAGAATGAGGCCTGCAGAATCCATAATTTCAAACAGTTCGTAGATCGGACTACTAGATCAAAAGTTCTGCCCTTTGAATTTTTTATCGAAATTGGTTTTTTGCCCATAACTTTTGACTGAGATGTCTAATCGAAAAAGTACGAATCGTTTTGGATTCTACGCACCAAAATTGATAAGAAAAAGTTTTTTCCCGAGAAATTTTGGTGTAGTCGATTTTTGGTAAAAAAGGAAGGTTATACACTGCCTTGCATACCAACAAGGCTTAGAGACGCACATTTTTAGAAATAAAATGAAACGCTTTTTAATTCGTCAATGTTGTTTCAGTCCTGAAGATTTTATTAAATGTGATTTTAATCAAATATTTGTCCAGCATTAGTTTTGTTTGTCAATGGAGTGATTTTTTTCGTGATGTTTGTAACGTATACACTTATCTGTATTTAGACGTTTTAGACTTTTTTGAGGCCCGAAAAAAAATTGTCTCAGATCGACCGGGAGAAAACATTTTCTTATAGAATGAGGCCTGCAGAATCCATAATTTTAAACAGTTCGTAGGTCGGACTACTAGATCAAAAGTTCTGCCCTTTGAATTTTTGGTCGAAATTGGTTTTTTGCCCATAACTTTTGATTGAGACGTCTAATCGAAAAAGTACGAAACGTTTTGGATTCTACGCACCAAAATTAATAAGAAAAAGTTTTTTCCCGAGAAATTTTGGTGTAGTCGATTTATGGTAAAAAAGGAAGGTTATACACTGCTTTTTTTGAAGCCCAAAAAAAAATTGTCTCAGATCGACCGGGAAAAAAACATTTTCTTATAGAATGTGGCCTGCAGAATCCATAATTTCAAACAGTTCAAAGATCGGGCTACTAAATCAAAAGTTACAGCCCTTTGAATTTTTTGTCGAAATTGGTTTTTTGCCCATAACTCTTGACTGAGATGTCTAGTCGAAAAGAAGAGAAATTTTGGTGTAGTCGATTTTTGGTAAAAAAGGAAGGTTAGGTATACACTGCCTTTTTTGAGGTCCGAAAAAAAAATTGTCTCAGATCGACCGGGAAAAAACATTTTCTTATAGATTGTGGCCTGTAGAATCCATAATTTCAAACAGTTCCAAGATCGGGTTACTAGTTTTCTATTTAAATTCATTATTTAGTGCTTTTGGAACAATTTTTATATCAATTACCACTACTAAGGTTAGGTACAGTTCTACATCTAAAAACACTTTAATCGCCGCATGCACCGACAAATTTAAGCGAGGCTTAGTTTGAACGTAGCTTATAATCCATGGCAACAATTATTGCGACAATGATTGCTATTGATTTTAAGCAACGCTTAAACTAAGCTCCGCTTAAATTTGTTGGTGCATATGCCCATAAGCGAATTACATATCTTATAATATTGTAAACCCAAGCTATATGCGTCTTGAAAAATACGACGTTATATAAAACTGGAGTCGGAAAACGAAAAATAAAGCAAATTGTAAACTAGTAATGTTAAACCGTGAAGCGTGAACTGGCAAAACAGTATAATTTATAATTATAACACGGAGTGTACCGCGTCGTTTGAGAGGGTTTCGATTGGCTAGTTTGAAATTTAGCTCCAATATGGCGACCGGAACCAACGACCAATCAAAAAACGAGATAACCTGTTGTCGGCACTGTTCTAAATTGAGCACTGTAGGCAAAATGAGGCACTCACAGCAAATCAACTACGCACACTGGCTCAGTAGGTGTAACCATAACAAACACCTGGACGAACAATGGGTTCCCCCACTCTCCCTCTCCGCAACAGCTTTTTTTAGCAATTTTTGTTATTTCAACAATTTGACTGTTTTTGCACTCCCCTCCATCAATGCTGAATTTCTGGTAAGTCCCATCATTTTTTGATATTCAGAGACAATAGTTTTTCTCTGCTCTTACTCAAGAAGTGCTGGATATAGGCACACATAAATATAAATGGCCATAAAATGTTGACATTTTTTGATTTCTAAATTTGAAACATTGCAGCAATTCTGGAAACTTATTAAAGACTTTCAGCAGTCCCTCAAAAACTTTAATGATTCGATTATAAAAAAGAGCATTCACTGATCTTGAACGATTTAAGGGATGTGAATTGTTGAATGCTTGCATCTTCAAATGTTTAGAGAGAAATTGACATATGTCAAAAAGTATGACAGAGAGGTCCGCAAATCTTAAATGCGTTGAATTCAGCATGAAATAAGGCAGTTTATTTTTCACCTTGCTGCACCCCTCCTGACTCCTCACTCCTAAATTAGTTTTGGAATACAATTTGTCCTAACTCCTAACCTCAGATTTTTTTTGTTCCATATAATTCGACCCTCAGTCCCATCCAACGCGGGACTCTACTGTAAAAAAATATTTAATTGCAATTCTTGACGGCACACTAACAATGATCAGAATGATTTTACATATGACTTTACAAAAAAAAAGGTATGCGCATTTGGTTGTCAGAATCGCCTCATGCGCATGCGCCAAAACTCTGAAATTTTAATTCGGAAAACTACTAACAATTTTATGCAATCTAGTCAGGTGGTTTTCTTTTCGTGCATCAGTAGATTCATGCACAATCTGACACTATTGCAAAGGTCATAATGCGTTCACTACGCACAAGTAACTTAGTGGTTTACCTTCATGGGAGAAGTGCTACTTTTTTGGCAGTATATTAATGTTGAGTAATTTTTTTTAGACCCAATCAGTCAGTCCATCAACCAACCGAAGTAAAAGACACAAAACCTACAGCAGGACCAAGTTCTTTAAATACAGAGCAAATAGCAGCAACATACGTTCCCGAATTTACTTTGTCTCGACAGGAATCATTCTCTTCACTGAGTGCCGATTCCTTCGGATCTTTGGAACAAGAACAAGCTCTTTTAGAACAATGTATATCATCGGGCATGCCGAAAAGTAAACATACACACGCCCCCAAAACTGTCGATGCGCCAAGGCAGGTTATTGTCACTAAACCTATCGGTGTGGCTACCAAACAATTTAACGCCAATAAAACTCAGTCTGATTCCATTCGTCCAATGACCTATGATGACAAATCGATAAGACACGGAGAGAGGAAGACGGACTTCGCGGATCAAGATGAAAAATTAGTTTATTCAAAAAACGTAAATGTAACGTCTGCTGTCGGGAGCACGATAGCGGAAAAAAACGTAATGCGTCCCACCACGCCATCTACGGCAGCAGACGTCGCACATATAGAAAAGTCCGAAGAAAAAGTGACACGCAATCGCACGATAATCGAGATACAAGCAGATATATCTCGGGACAAATGCTTGCCTTTCGAAGAGAACTTATCGATAGAACCCATGAGGAGTGGGTGTGAAACGCTCGGTAAGTTAACACAAAACATAAACAATTTTTGTTACATTTTCGAATAGTTGCAGATTCGGATGTTAGTCCCGAATCTCTGTGTTCAATCACCGACAATATCGAGTTTGACTTTGGAAATGTAAATTTAGAAATAAAAGCCGTCGATACTCGTATGTTAGATCCTGACGCCATGATTGAATCTTTAGATCGATTTACAGCCGAATTAGTTTCACAGGCCGAAGCGGCGCATTCAAATAAAGATGCACATAAATTTACCACTTCAATAACAGATGGAGATACTTGGAATGACGATTCTTCGCCAAATGATTTGACTTTTCCAAGTATTTCAGGAAGTGCGCCAAATGTTATTACATTCCACAGCGAGTCGGATTGTGCGAATACAGGAGGTGGGTATTAGTCCTAGGGGTGGCAATCGAAAAGGTTGGTTACCACTTATCAAAGATTGAATGTTTTGTATCAGTAATTATATGAACCCTAAATAGTTCACTAAACTGCACACGCTGGAACATTGAAAAGGTTAAACCTACACTTGGAGAAAGTAACACATCGGCCAATGAGGTAAGAGATTTCCAAAGCGGTGAAAGTAACCATTCCTCGTCATGGTTGAAATTCTTTGGGTATTTGTAGATCTTCATGCCCACACGGATTTTTCTTTGGCAAAAGAAGTTGGTTTCCTGTTCATCTGAAGCTCTAGTAAAGCTTTTCATAAGTACCTCTACTGGTCTCAAATTTTCCTCAACCCCTCTCTGACTAGTCATCCCACACGTGAGAGGCGGCTCTAATCGTAGCCATGGCCGACCAGGATACCCCCAACACGGATTGTCTCAGTTGGACTAGAGCGGGACATTCACAAAGGATGCGGGGTGCCGTGTCTATGATTGCTACTTTGAGTTGCCTTTCTGCAATTTGCTTGTAGCTACTGCGCTGTTTTCTAGCCTTGCTGACACCTGTCTTTGGTTGGGACTGTGGTCTGCCCTTTTTCATCGGCAGTTGAGTCGGTTTTGAGCCATCTAACCTCTGCCTCTTTTTCTCTCTACCTACCTGTTTGCCGGTTCTAGCAGCCTGCCTTTGGGTCAAGGTTGGGTAACGGGAGGTGGATGGTTTGGAGGTGACTGTTGGCGCAGGTTGCCTCATTTGGGCCAGCCTGGTCTGCTCTTCCGTTCAGCGCCGGAGATACCCTTACATGGTTAGGTGTGTTGAGGCTTGGTGACCTGCAACGCCCACGTGAAGTTGGCCCCGCCCACATGAAATAATTTAACAAAGATGCGTCGACAGTTAGTGCTCGAACCTTATTGTTAGTGCTGCTATATAACATGAGAAAAATTTAAAAAAACGGGTGGGGGCCAACTTCACACTCAACTTTTATTTATCGAAATAAGAAACGCACACGGCGTTAGTGCTACGTTATTGCTGTTAAATGCCAGACAAACAGTATCTCAAATTCTTTTGTTGTTCCTAAAAAGTCAAGTGTGAAGTTAGCCCCGCCCATACATTTTTAATTAGATGAAACCACATGTGACTGTTAGTGCTAGATTAGTACAGTTTTGTGCTCGAATATTGCGATTTCAGCATTTCATCTTTCCAAGAAAAACGAAAAAAACTCAAATATTGCGTGAAGTTGGCCCCAGGCATGACTCGCTTTATGAAAAAAAAACTAATACGTTCGTTAGTGCTCTTTGTGCTCGAATATTGCAAATCGAACGTTTTACCTTTCCAAGAAAAACCAAAAAAACTAAAATATAGTGTGAAGTAAGCCCCGCCCATGACTCATTTTTTGAAGAACCGCACATACGATCGTTAGTGCTACATTAGTGCTTTTTTGTGCTGGAATACTGCGAGTCTAACGTTTTACCTGTCCAAGAAAAACCAAAAAAACTAAAATATAGTGTGAAGTAGGCCCCGCCCATGACTCATTTTTTAAAGAACCGCACATACGATGGTTAGTGCTTTTTTGTGCTCGAATACTGCGAGTCTAAAGTTTTACCTGTCCAAGAAAAACCAAAAAAACTAAAATATAGTGTGAAGTAGGCCCCGCCCATGACTCATTTTTTAAAGAACCGCACATACGATCGTTAGTGCCACGTTAGTGCTTTTTTGTGCTCGAATACTGCGAGTTTAACGTTTTACCTGTTCAAGAAAAACCAAAAAACTAAAATATAGTGTGAAGTAGGCCCCGCCCATGACTCATTTTTTAAAGAACCGCACATACGATCGTTAGTGCTACGTTAGTGCTTTTTTGTGCTCGAATACTGCGAGTCTAACGTTTTACCTGTCCAAGAAAAACCAAAAAACTAAAATATAGTGTGAAGTAGGCCCCGCCCATGACTCATTTTTTAAAGAACCGCACATACGATCGTTAGTGCTACATTAGTGCTTTTTTGTGCTTGAATACTGCGAGTCTAACGTTTTACCTGTCCAAGAAAAACCAAAAAAACTAAAATATAGTGTGAAGTAGGCCCCGTCCATGACTCATTTTTTAAAGAACCGCACATACGATCGTTAGTGCTACGTTAGTGCTTTTTTGTGCTCGAATACTGCGAGTCTAACGTTTTACCTGTCCAAGAAAAACCAAAAAACTAAAATATAGTGTGAAGTAGGCCCCGCCCATGACTCATTTTTTAAAGAACCGCACATACGATCGTTAGTGCTACATTAGTGCTTTTTTGTGCTTGAATACTGCGAGTCTAACGTTTTACCTGTCCAAGAAAAACCAAAAAAACTAAAATATAGTGTGAAGTAGGCCCCGTCCATGACTCATTTTTTAAAGAACCGATCGTTAGTGCTACGTTAGTGCTTTTTTGTGCTCGAATACTGCGAGTCTAAAGTTTTACCTGTCCAAGAAAAACCAAAAAAACTAAAATACTGTGTGAAGTTGGCCCCACCCATGACTCGTTTAAAAAAAACTAATAGCATATTGTGACAGTGACAGGTATAAAGTAATCGTTGACAAAAATATTAGTGAGGTTACTATATGTATTAAGAGCGTAAGTGAAAATAAAGTTAACGCTAGAACCTATAAAGCCTGTTGCAAAATACTAGAAAATATTTTTGAACAACATATTTTATGTTCGGATATTATACATATAGGATTGTACTTGCAATATTAGTTATATTATTTCTAAATGAATGCTACCCTCCAGAAACAAAGGATTGTTGTTCTTTATACACAAATCAACACCTAGAAATTTTTTCTATGTGACAGGAGACAGTAGCATTTTTTATGAAAATATTTCAAACTTGTCAATTGCAATAGAATCTCCGCTACAAGAAATTCTTAATAAAAAAAATGTTGCAAAAACCCTTACTCCAGAGAAACTGGGGAATTTGGACATATTGTTGTTGATTTTCCAATCACAAAGGATGTCTCCACCCAAATCGGAATATCATTTGGTTTTACATTTCAGTTAAAATCATGGTGTATAATAAAGACATACACCATGATTAAAATGTATATGGAATTTTATTTCTCCATTGGACAATACCAACATTGGTCATTATAGAGCATTCTGTAAACGAGTAAATGGAGAATGGGAACTGTATGATGACTGTAAACCAGGTAGCCTTATAGTTGCACCAAACAGGAAAGTTTGCACTATTTTACACATACAGGGTGACAATTTGAAAACTTACCACCCTTAGTTACCACTTAGTAAATAAACGAGATATTTAAAAAAATCAAAATCCGTTTCGGTAATTCGGAGGGGGAATCACAATGACATAGTTGGCGACGCACCCCCTCCAACCCCTGCGCCCCAGCCACCCCAACTTTTAAATCTTAAATAGTGACCCCCCATGTGTGATACGTCGTTGGAAAGCTCTGAAAAAATGCTTTCCAACCATACCAAACAGCATTACATTTAGGTTAGTAATTTTCGTGCAAATCAAAAAATAAACTAATATGATACATTTGAAATCTGTCGTATTTAAAACGCAACCGGCGACCATAGACGCACTAAGACAGAGAATGATTCAAGAATGTCGAAATATTGCAAAACCAACATTGGAAAGGTTCGACAAGAGTTTGAGAATAGATTATAACTGGCGATCAAAAATGAGTTGCTGTCGAGTCGGCTTTGGAAGTTCAAGTTAAATACGATTTTCCATGTTTATTTTTTGATTTGCACGATAATTACTAACCTAAATGTAATGCTATTTGGTATGGTTGGAAAGCATTTTTTCAGAGCTTTCCAATGACGTATCACACATGGGGAGTCCCTATTTAAGATTTAAAAGTTGGGGTGGCTAGGGCGCAGGGGGTGTGAGGGGGTGCGTCGCCAACTATGTCATTGTGATTCCCCCTCCGAATTACCGAAACGGATTTTGATTTTTTTAAATATCTCGTTTATTTACTAAGATATGGGGGGTGGTAAGTTTTCAAATTGTCACCCTGTATAGGTACTACTCATTGAAAGTGTATTTTTAAGTACTTTGCTGTTCTTTTTTTATTTTATTTTGCCTTTATTTTTGAGTGGGCGGGGTTTCAGCCGAGGCTGCTCTACCAACCCAACCCACTATACATTTACAAATATCCAACCAGGGACCCTTAGCACCACAGTCCAGCTTTAACTGAACTGCGCCACACGGGTCTATGTTACTTAATGTAATTTTGTGTGTGTGTTATTGATCCATTAATAATTGGTAATATAAAAAACATTCCTGGAGTTAAGTTCGGATTACTGTTCTAAAACTTCAAAAATGTAAAGAAACAAGGTTTGGTTAAGATTGTATTAAGAATGAAGTATCTTTGAGAGTTGAAACTGATAAAGGACCATATCCCGAATATCTGCTCAATCAAGATCGATAAATAAAGTCATTCAATTTTTTCTAATATTTTATACGGTTTGTTTTGAGAAAGATCCTGTTTTACAATTAAATTTATCATGACGCAGCAATAATTATCTGCCATGGATTACCATGTACGTAGACTCGACGCTGCTGTTTGTGTTTTTTAAAGTCGAGTCATAAATGAGGTTAACTTCACACACTATTTTAATTTTTTTTTTCTCGGAAACGAAAAACGTGAGAATCGTAATCTTTGAAGGCAAAACAACACTAACGTAGCACTAACGATCGTATATGCGTTTCTTTACAAACGAGTCATGGGTGGAGCCACTTCACACAATTTTTTGATTTTTGTTGTTTTTCTTGATATTCGAGCACAAAAGAGCACTAACGTAGCACTAACGATCGTATTCGTTTTTTTTTCGTTTTTCTTGCAAAGGTAAAACGTTAGACTCGCAATATTTGAGCACTAACGATCGTATGTGCTTTTCTTTAAAAGACGAGTGATGGGCGGGGCCTACTTAACACTATATTTTAGTTTTTTTCGTTTTTCTTGCAAAGGCAGAACGTTAGACTTGCAATATTCGAGCACAAAACAGCACTAACGTAGCACTAATGATCGTATTAGTTTTTTTTTAAAACGAGTCATGGGTGGGGCCAACTTCACACAATATCTTAGTTTTTTCCTTTTTCTCGAAAAGATGAAATGCTGGAATCGCAATTTTTGAGCACTAACCTAGCACTAACAATCACATGTGGTTTCATTTAATTAAAAATGTATGGGCGGGGCTAACTTCACACTTGGCTTTTTTATGAACAGCGAAAGAATTTGAGATACTGTTTGCCTGGCATTTAACAGCACTAACGTAGCACTAATGCCGTGTGCGTTCGTTATTTCGATACATAAAAGTTGAGTGTGAAGTTGGCCCCGCCCCGTTTTTTTAATTTTTCTCATGTTATGTAGCAGCACTAACGATAAGCTTCAAGCACTTAACAGCACTAAATGTCGACGCATTTTTGTCAAATTATTTCATGTGGGCGGGGCCAACTTCACGTGGGTACCTGCAACAGAGTTTGAGGAGTATACTGGGACCCTCCTACTGGTTTATTTGTTTTGTTTGTGTCATCCATCTCAGAAGCAAGAAATTTCATCCTCCCCACCCCACCCACCCCTGAGCCCAAGGGGACGCCTATCCAGACGCCAGGACTACCAGGAGAATATAGCTTTTAGAGGGTAGCAGAAAACAGGCCTGGTTTCGCCAAGAGGTAGATCATTCCATTATTACGGATCGCCTTGCACGACACAAACACTGAGGGGGAATGTAAATACTGATACAACACGTTTAATTAATGGTTTGACCTTTTTGGTTGGCAGCTCTTGTTTCATTTTTGTTGCCATCTGTGTCTATGTCTAATTTACATTTTACAGGACTTCAGGAGGACGTGATATTCCACTTGAATGGTAATGGTTTAGATGCTGTAGACGGTGTTAATGATTCAGAACAAAAGTCCAGCGATTTTTCTTCTATTAACACGAGCACAATGACAGAGTCCACATTGATAGCAGTTGAGGCAACAAAGATGGCAAACGCGTTTAAAAATGAAGCGGAATTGTCGCAGAGTATTACAAGCGTGCAATCTCTCGAATTAGACTGCATTCAACCACCCTCGCACATGAATTCATTAACGAGCAGTATGAATGGATTAGACCACCACCTGACGAAGGGCAGTCCAAAATTGGTTAACAGGAAGAAACTGTTACATAACGGCTTGATAGCGCGAAGAGCCTTAACTAATTCGTTTAATCAAAATTCCAGTTTGGAAAGCTTAGATAATCAGAGTCTGTCGAACTTGGATCACATGCATCCCCCATCTACCATGGGAGAAGTGCTGGATATACTCGATTTAGAAAGCAGCATGACAAGTGTTGCTAGCTTAACAAGTGAAGCGGTCGATGTTAAACTGGAGCAACCAAATCCGATATTTAACGTGAAACAACCTGCGAACATGCTGCATTTGTTTTCTAATACTTCACTTACCGATCTAGAAAATGTCAACCCTCCTTCCCTTCTCAATGAAATCACCGACATGTGTAATTCTTTAGCGGACGTTGCCACCGAAAATATTTGTAGCGAAACTGAACCATTCGAAGACTGCAACACTCACATGAACGACACAGATGATGTGACGTTATTCTCAGACGCTCAAAGCGTTACTCCCATTCAATCAGATTTAGGATCAAGTGCAGAAACTTCGCCTAAAAAGACTCGAACGCTTACCAAAAGAATGACGCCTAAGCAAAAACGCAAGCTGGTACAGGAACGCTACCGAACCTACACAGTGGCGGCGGAAATGGTGATTAGCGCCGAACTTGGTTCATTATCCGACAACTGTAACTCCGAATACCAGACAGTACCCGAATTTTCACAGACTGAGAGCCACAAGAAACTGTCGCCAAAAGAAAAACGATTAAATGATAGGGCGCGTTACCAAACTCAAGTACTTTCAGATGCCGTAACTGCAGAACTACAAAAAATGTGTGATAAATCTGATGTGCCATTAACTCCCGTAGATAGTCCACAGGCCAGTCCAGGGCGAAGCAAATTGAGTATCAGGCGAAATTTTATTCAAAAGCGTTTAGAGAATCAAGATCGTTTTAAAACGCGTACGCTTAGCGAATCGAGTTTATCGCCCGACATTTCCAGTGCCTCACCTCCTACGAATGATCTACAATCTTTGGTACAAAAAGAAGCTGGGAGGGTTTTACGAAAGTTACACGAGGCCCACCTACATTCGGATAACTTGCTAGACTGCGAAACGCTCAGTTTAATTTCGAATGATGAAGATTCAGATTTTAATTCTGGAAGTCCTATAAATTATAGAACTTATACCAAGAATTGTACGACACAAAACACTGTTGCAGTTAACAATGTTTCAGTCGAAAGCTCTCCCACTGTGCAACTGCAGGTGGTCGAAGCGGAAATCGCTTCAGGAGACGATGAGTCAAAAGTCAAACCGAAAATTATAAAGCCCGACGAAAAGGTCGTAACTGAGGATGCGAATGAGGAAGTTAAGGGAATTCGTGGTAGAAGAAAAGCGCTTTATTCAAAAACAAATGTTGCAAATACACGAATTTCTACTAGAAATACAAATATCAGGCCAATTCGTACTATAACATCTAATTTGGTCAAAAATGTAACGTCGGTTATTAAGTTGGGAACTAATTTAAAAGGTGTAGCTTCGAAGCAAGAAACGGGGGGAATTCCTAAGGCGCCAACAACGCAAGCGAAGTCATTGAAGCCACCTTCTGGTTACCACACGAGCAAAGTGGGTGGTGGTTTAGGGAGAGCTGTGAATGGTCCGCAGGCTGGTTTGGGTACAGCACCAAAACATAAGGTAACTATTATGCATATAACCCGATTAATGAAATTCAACACTATTTACGTATTGTTGTGTGATACAAAATATGGGTTTGATTCATAAAAAGAAATACAAAAAAATGTGATCCTTTTTTGTGATCACTTGTCCATGCTAAATTTGACCTTTATCTAAGTATTTTATCTTTACCACGTAATAAATTATGGGTACATTCTTCTGTACAATACCTACGCCCCTGAATACTAAACAAAATTTTTATCCAACCACTGAAATTAAATGCAAAACCGCCAATTAATGGAATAAAATAATCCAAATCCTTTGTTTGGATTTAGTTCTTAGCAATAAGTAGGTACACTACAAAATCTGTTTCATGCAAGTACTTCGCATAGGTCGATTTCTTTAGGAAGATACTTCAAAGAAAATTATATTATATGCCAATTCCTAAAAATAATCTGCCACTACTTTACATAAATTTAAAATTTAAAATAATTTACACTTTACAGTAATTGACGTGGATGAGATTCCTTTCAGGTTACAATTGGTCTTACCTCTCCCTCGGGAAATGCTGCTCCCTTCCGGAAATGGAAACAGATCATTTCTGTATGGTGTAGGTGATAAATACAATATGTAAATGTCCCTGGGCAATTGTTAACAATACGAAAAAACTTTGTTGTAGATCACAATTAATTGAAATATCGTCCTAAAGTGTAACACCAGTGCACTTGAAACGCGGTGGTTCGCGAAAACGAATGAATTTTTAATTCACAAACAAAGAGTACCCTCGAAAACCTGTATAGAATAACCGCTCTACCATTTCTCTCACTTTTTAAATTTGGTTCGGTAAAAAAAACGAAAAGCGACGAAACAATGTCGACTCGTGTACCCTTTTAAATAAATAGTAAACTTGTTATTATGGTCACATGCTCGGCTTTTCACAAAACGGAACGCAAATTTTTCTATGCTGGATAAAATACAAATTAGAAAAAATACATTCTTTATTCCTTTCACTATTTCTACATCTTCTTCTACTTTTATTTTTGGGTATTTTTTCTTAACAAGCTGCTTCCATTTCTTCTTTATTGTTCAATAATTTTTGAAAATACTCCTCTCATCTCTTATCATTCCAAGCTCGTCTGTAATTATTGTGTTGTTCTTTTCTTTGATGTGCTTTAACGTATAGTTTCCTCAGGCTCATAAGTACTTTATAATAGAAGTTTTTGATTACTGTGTTTATTTTCTTCGATTCTGTTTCCAAATTCTTCCCACGCCTTTTGTTTTGCTTCTACTACAATGAGTTTTACTTTCACCCGTTTCTCTACTCAAATACTGTTTCCATTTTTCTTTCTTTTTCTGAATGTCTTCCTTAATATCTTGTTTGTTTTCTATTTTTATTTATCAATATTGTTCCACGCCCTTCGACTGCTGTTGATAGTACTATTTCTTTAAATTTTTGCTTCTGGCCTCTTTTACTTTTAGCTCCATTTTTGCACCGTATACACTTGCTGTTTCCTTATCTGTTAGCCTATACAGGGTGATTCCTATAGTACCTGCCACCGTTTGGGAGCGTGTAGGTGGTGCGTAGGGGAGTATTTTGATATAGGACACTTGGGGTCGGAAATCTAAAATAAGGGTGCCAGAGCCAAATTTACCTTCTGAAATTTCGCGCCTGTAGGTAGGCAACCCAACCGGCCGGCGGTGCACACGGAGCGATCTCAGGCGGCGATGTGTGGCTGACACTTGATCAGAATTTGTTTAAACCCACGAAATCCCGTCTGCAACGACGCGTATCAAGTGAATAAACACTATGGCAATAGTATAATAATAGTTGGCTAGATGTAGGAAGTGCATTGAGAACAACGGTGGCGACGTTGAACACTTGTAAACGTTATTGCTTTTGACTGTCGTTTTCCCTCCTTCCCTCCCATGTCGCTTCCTCGCGCTAACTCGCTCTGCATCGCTTCGCGCGAAACGTCGGTCGGTTGGGTTGCCCACATACAGGCGTGAAATTCCAGAAGATAAATTTGGTTCTGGCGCCCTTATTTTAGATTTCCGACCCCAAGTGTCCTATATCAAAATACTCCCCTAGGCACCCCCTATACGCTCCCAAACGGTGGCAGGTACTATAGGAATCACCCTGTATGTACTTATATTATTATTTCGTTTGTCTTTAGTTTTAGCTTCTCTTGTGTTTTTGTTCGTATTTTCACTTCTACTAGATAATGATCACTGTGAATTTTAAATATTATTAAAATGATTAAATCATAAAAATTTAAAATATAATTTTTTCTATGTATAATGTATACTGGGTGTTTATTAAACATGCGGCAAAAATGTAAAGGGCTATTCTAAGGATATTTTGTCCTGCGATGATTTTTGGTAGGGCGCTTTGTTTCGAATATAGGGGTCGAAAAAGCATTTCGGCCATCCAATTTAGATAATTTTAAAATTATTAATGTAGCCGTTGAAACGGATTCATTTGTCTATTTCACTTAATTAATAATTTGACCCCCTGGATTATTTCCTATGGGGCCACCTAAAGTCATTAGTTTATACTACTCCAGTGGAAGAAGATTTAAGAAAAAAAAGCGCCCTATCAAAAGTCATCGAAGGGCAAAATATCGTTAGAATAGTCCAAGGAATAGCCCCTTACATTTTTGCTGCATGTTTAATAAACACCGTGTATATTGTGTATATAAATATATTTTTGTATTTTTTTCTCTATTTTTATCGATTAAAGTAGTTTTTAAGCATCGCATGTTATAAGGAGTGGTTTTTAAGGGTTGAAAAGTTACAAAATGAAATGAGTAATATTTAAAGAAAGTAAAATGCTGTAATAAAAGATTAATTTGTTCTTTATTCTTATCTTTTAATTAAACGGCAACAGGGGTATGATTTCTAAGGGTTGAAATATTCTGAAATGATATTCCGATGCGTATAACAATCATTACTTAACTCATCTGAACAAAATTTTGCTCACCTTAAGCTTTATTAATATACAGGGTCATGCAACAGTGGGTCAGTCTTTTCTAACTCATACCTTGTAAAAAATATCAAAAAACCTTTTGTGCAAATGTCAACCATAGATGGTTGCGCATCTACAGAAATTATTTATGATTGTACAGGGTGTTCCATTTTTACAGTGTCAATAGACAACTGAATTTGTTTTGAACACCCTGTATATTTTTATGCTGGATAGTAAGCAAGTCTCACAAATTATCTGCTGTAAGTGTACTCCTTATTTCGTAGTAAAATAAGATTAATTAAAAAGGCGAATTTCGAAAAAGAAGAGCTAGTATTTCTAAATAATATTAGTTTACTACGAAATAAAGAGTACACTTGCAGCAAATCAAAATTTGTTTAATAACTTGTTTACTGTCTGTCATTCATTAGTGTTTTATTATCACGGCCTACTCCTGTTTATAAACATGTAATTAATTAATGTGTAACTATTTTTGTGAAAAATATGAAATAACCTAAAACTACTGGGTTTAGGCACAGGACAACACTTATAAAAATTGAATAGAGAAATAAAATAGTGGTAGTTCCATTGGAAAAAAAAAATAGTTAAGACACTTTAAAATTTGGAAATTTTTTTATGAACACCCTGTATCACTAAATCCAACTTTCTCATTACCAAAGTGTTTCGTTTTATTCAGATTAACATTATTAATCAAAGGTATTTCTTAACTGTAGAATCAAGGTCGCTACGATTTTAAAGTGGGGCATTCTTATGGGTAATTATTTGGAAAAAAATTAATAATTGGGTAACATTGACAAAAACCAAAAAGTGAATAGGCTTCCTTGCAGAGTTTAAAAGTGACATCGAAACAACTTAAAATATACAGGGTGTTCCATTAAAAAAACAGTTATCTATTGATACCATAAAAATGAGACACTCTGTACATTCAAAAATAATTTTTGTAGATGCGCAACCATCTATAAGAAGTTGACATTTGCACAAAAGGTTTTTTTGATATTTTTTACCAGATATGGGCTAGGAAATACAGAAACTGTTGCATGACCCGGTATAGTTTTATAGGTTTTGGCAAAAAGGGGTAGTTTTCATCCCTGAAAAATGAAGAGCGCCCTTCGGATTAATATAGATTTTGAAGTGGGTGGTATCTGTTCAATTAAAAAATGGAAATTTCAGAAGCAGAAGGTTAAAATACTGGCAATGACTGTACCTCCTTTATTTTTACACTTTGAACACCCGAGTCAAGGAAAATCTAAGCAAGCATTATTTTATAAGCCTGGAAGAGATCTTAAAAAAGGCTTTCCATGTGCTTAAGAAAACTTAATAACATTTAAGAATATTTAAGAACCCAAGTCTTTAGATCGTGTGAGACCTTTCAAGAGATCTTTAAGACATGTATAATATTAACCTTTAAGAATACACCAAGCTTGTCTGAAGAAAATAGCATTTTAGAATCTTTATCAGTATTCAAAAGTTACCCAATGTCTTTTCTCCAACAGTTTTCAATGGTCTCCATAGCCTTTTAGTGGCCTTGAAAGTGGCTAGCATGTGGCAAGAAGTCCGTGGGCCCTATTGAGATTAGGCGTGGCATTATACAAATCGTTAATATTTAAATGTCTATACAGGGTGTCCATAACCTTAAACTACATATCACGTACTATTTGCAACCCACCACACAGGTCCTACTAGTACCTGATGCCTTACAATAGTTTTACAGTCTTAAAAAACCTTTCAGAAGCATTAAGGGTTTCCATAAGTTTTCAACTGTTTTCAAGAGACTCCTAAGGAATTTAAACGAGTTGTCAAGACACTTGGAGAGCTTTTAATTAGTTTTGACGTCGTAAATGCGCTTTAGGTTGAAAAGCTCAAACTCTATAATCCAAAAAAGGTGTAACTGCCATAGTTAAAGCGGTAATAAACTTTTAGGAGTTTAGGCCATCTGGTCAAGGGTTTTTATTTGATTTCATTAGAAGGATGACCTTTTTTAACATTATAGATAAATGAACATAATTTGCGTCACAATTTGAACGATATAAATTTGTTGTTGAACAAAAACGAACTTGTTTCAGAGTGAAACTAAAAAATTGACTCCTCCACCACCCTTAGAGAGACAAGGAACCTTCACAAAAGATGAAGAAATTATACAACCAACCAAAAGTCGTATTCCCACTCCCGCTTCGAATCTTCCAAAGCCGAAACCGGCATCGAGAATTGCTAGAGCTATCTCGCAGACAAACTCCACTGTAGGGAAAACAGTTTCGAGGGTGCAAAATGCTCTAACATCGAGACCAGTTAAATCGACCGCTATCAAATCAGTAAGCTCAGATAGAGCGACTAATTCCCGGCCTACATTAACTGGAAATTCAACTAGATCGTCTAGTGCAGATAGTAGAGATGCACACATGAGAAGGCAAAACATTCAAAATTCCTCGTCGAGTCAGAGTTTAAAGAGTGAGAGTGGAAAGAAACAAAATGGAGCAGTTAGCAGATCCTCGCCCTCTACTGTCTCTCAAAGATCGAGCAGCAATTCCAGCATCACGTCGAATGGGTCGTCTTCCAAGAAACAAGTCACTAGTAAAATTGCCAGCTTATGGAAAAAAGTTGAGGAGCAAAAGAAACAAGTGCCCAAGAAAGATACGCGTGTCTGGATTCAACGCGATCGTGAAGAAGTACCGCAAATGATCAGAAGTAATACGTTTGAGAGTAAAGACGGTGTTTCACTTAGAAGTATGGAAGGTCACGACAAAACTGTGCCAGATATGAGCGAAACGGCTGACTTATCATTTTAACTTTCGCTTCTTTTCTTTATGTAGGTGTAATGACTATTTTACATATTAACAACGAAGAAATGAATGTGCATATTGTTTACTTTTTTAAGAGAGTTGCTAGTTTATTTATTTTATATCGTTACAAAAAACCTCATTTATGATCTTATATTAATCTAGTCGAATTAATTTAACATACGCATCAAGTTATAAAGATTTCGTTTGCAGCACGTCTTAGCAAAATGTAAATATAGAAACCACATAGGTATTAATATGTAGCTTTCCTTAGTATTAGTTTTCTATTGATGAATGTAAAGTAAAAAAAATGTTTATTCTGGATACAGTAAGTTAGTATTGCGGTTTAAAATTCAATAAACTAATTACCATTGTCAACTTGATTGTATACAAACACTAAATATTCATCGTGCAGTATTTTTTGATTTTTAAAAAAATAACAAGTTTTTAATTGGGGTAATGAGGGTCTGTAATGTAATAATACATTGGGATAGAAGCTACGCTACTAAAACAACAATTTGTCTCCTATATGTTTCTTCTTATTTAATTTGCATGGCATTATACATGAAATGCGCGCGATCATGATTTTCATAAGAAAACTGCACTAGTGGTTATTGTACTACATTGAACCTAAGTTTGCCATGTTTTGTGTACCCACGACGTTACTTGATAATGAAGCATTTCTGGACCTAAAAAATTGGTAATCACATACTCTGCAGTTGACTCCCTTCTATTAATAGTACCCTCCATTTTTACACAAGAATAACCTGATGGATTTGGATGCGCCCTCAAAATAGTCAGTCCAAGGAATGAGAAGCTAATTTCTCAGCCCACCTCATTAAAGACTTAATTGTTACTAGTTCATACTGCACCCATAAAGATTTTGAGTTCTACACTTTACTTATATGATTATGTGGTTCTACGTTGATTTTAAAAAATACCTGTAAGTGTGTTATGTTCTATCTGAACCCAAACTACGGAGGGTAAAAATATGAGACATTTTTCCAAAAAAAAGGGTCCAAAGTATTTATTTGTGAAATACGTCCCCCAGCAGTGTAACACTTTTCTTGTTTTAGTTAACTTGTTTTATTCATCTGGTTTCTTTACAATTCTATCCTCTGGTTTGTTTGGATGCGGTAGACAGTGGAAGAATCCAGCGTATGCAGAATTCTTGCCTATACGACTTATATTTGGAATAAGAAAATTTCACCGAATATCACACAAACTAAATGACATTAAATGGTTAAATATGTCTAATTTGAGAAATTATCATACAGCTTGTTTTATCCATAGAATCATTTGTAACAAAACTCCTGGGTATCTGCATGATAGAATCAAATTTAGAACTAATATTCATAATTTAAATACAAGAAGTAGAATGTTCATCTCAATCCCAATTCATAAAACAACTTTATTTAAAAGATCTTTTAGCTATTACGTCCCGAAGATATATAACTCACTCTCATCTCATATAAAATCCTCTACAATGAAAAATTTTAAAAAATATATGCGGATGTCACTGATAGAAAAACAACATAGGTCTCTCTAAGCCCTTTTCTTTTTTTAGTTTTAATCTCATACACATAAGTGATATCGATCATTGGCTGACTAGGAACTTCGTTTAAATAAGCAAGGGTTAAGTGGAAGAACAGATGGTAGAGTTTTTAACTACCAATCTGAACTTCGCCCTTTTGAACTTAACGGTGAGCATTTCCTCTATGTCTTTTTTCTTTTTTTTTTACTGCACCTGCTTTTTTGTTCACTGTTTTTTTTTTCAATAAACGGATATTATTATTATATTATTATTATTATTAATTTCCCATCATATGCCAGCTCCTTTTCCGCATAAATTTCCCTTTATGGAGGGGGGGGGGGTTATCCAATGTCCTATAGAAATTTTGTGTATTGTAATTACATTACATTACCTTTTGCGTTTTTCCTATACATGGGTCGACAAAGTTTCTTTAAAATATGTAGATGGAATATAGCAATGTACGTTCTCCGTGCGATTTTTTGTATATCCCATGTGCAAGGGATGTACGTACGTTTGACAGACTTCACATAATATACAGTGTGTCCCCATATTATCGTATCAAAAATCAAAAAATGTTTGAATCTCGATCTTGGGCTGAGAAGAATTGCAATCACATTTTTACTTTTTAAAATCCAAGATGGCAGTGACAATTGAGAATAATAGTTATTTTTTCTGTGACGGGAAAAACATTTGACATTTTATCTGTTGATAGGTAACAAAATGTCACTTTATAAAATTACTTTTTCCCCGGGAAAAAAGAAAAGTGGGTACTTTTTTCTCGGATATACTCGCATATACACATAAGTAAAGATAGATATTCCATTTTTCTACGTTCTTCCTGTCACAGAAAAAAATAATTTTTTGTTGAGGGGGAAAAGGGGAAAAAAGGGATTTACTGGGAACAGGAAAAGCGGGATTTCTCAAAGGCGATACGAAGTTCATCGAGATGCATTTAAGCATACTGTACAGTCGCTGGACGATTAGGCCAAATAATGCAATTTCATTGGTCCACTCAAGGACGGGCGGCGACAGTAGTCTTAGGTAATATACTGTAATGATCCTAGAGGTCTCCCAATCTGACACTGAAAATGTTGACTTCCCCTTTACTTACCTTTGGCAACTCTGGGAAAACTCTGTTATACGTCTAGAAAGTAGCAGACGTTTTGAAATAAAAAATTTTAAAATTGCAAAGAAAATCTATTATTCTATACATCTGGAGGCTGCTTTAGCACTCTTGGTCTATTTATCAACACAAGCGCTATTCAGATTGAGGCACTTATAGCGTGGCACAAGTGTTTAGATTCCAATTTTTATAAATCCGCCGCCTGAGACTTCAATCACTGGTTATCGCCGGCTTGAAGTTCGGCATCACTGTCCATGCGCTGTGTTGCGAGCGAGGTCTTCATCGCTGGGAAGAGGCGGAAGTCGCTTGGCGCTAGATCTGAGCCGTATGGAGGGTGATCCTTTCATCCAAGAGCTGTCCAGTACGGTTGACTGCGTACGGGCGGGCGTTGTCGTCGAACAACAAAACTTCCACCTCTTCTCAGCGATGAAGATCTGGCTCACAAGGCAGCGGTTCGATAAGGACGCCGAACTCCATGTCAGCGTTACCCAGGTTAAAATCTCGGGCGGTGAATTTATAAAAGTTGGAATCAAAACACTTGCCACGCTATGGTAAGTGCCTCAATTTGAATGGCGCTTGTATTGATAAATAGCCCCCAAATGTATACAATAATAGATTTTCTTTACAAGTTTAAAATTTTCTATTTCAAAACGTCTGCTACTTTCTGGACAACCCTCGTATATACGGGGTGTCAATTTTAAAACCATATATATTTTAAAACTTGCAGTCGGCCATATTTTCCAAACTAAAAGAAGATATGAAAAATGCTTTCCAGTGGTACCAATATAGTCAATATTCATTAAGACAATTTAACAAAAATTTAATAATTAACAAAAAAAACTAAATGTTGACATTGAGGGATTTATGGCAAATTAGCCAAGAACTTCAATCTGGCTGCTTCATTAAGCAATCGTGGTTGGTTTTTTTCACATATGTCATTCGACCAATGAAATTGAATTATTAGGTCTGATGGTCCAGCGACTGTACAGTATGGTTAAATGTCGCCGGGACTGCTAGTATTATATAAATTCTAATTCAGAAAATTGTTACATATTTGTTTTGATCCAAACATACAGAGTGTACGTCCCCCGATTGTTTGATCGTCTTTTGTAAGGCAACAATTTTCGAATTGAATTTGGAGTTTCTAGGCAGAGGCGTATTTACGGGGGGGGGGATGAAGGGGATATATCCCCCCCAGAAGAATTGAGTTATCATCATAGCTATTAGGTATTTAGGTAGTACTCCGCTATCCGCTCCGCTCACTTTAAAATAAAGGCAATAATATATAGGTATATATAGAGAGCAATTTTGGTTTTGGTTAAAGTCTAAAGTCACTAAAATCTAAATATTCTGTAGTATGACGAAAATAAGAATTTTAAATTTTAAAAACAGGAATTTTTTTGTTCATAACTTTTGATTGAGACGTCTAATCGAAAAAGTACGGATCGTTTTGGATTCTACGCACCCAAATTAATAAGAAAAAGTTTTTTCCCGAGAAATTTTGGTGCAGTCGATTTTTGGTAAAAAAGGAAGGTAATAACTGCCTTTTTTTGCCCATCAAAAAAAATTGTCTCAGATCGACCGGAAAAAATATTATAGAATGTGGCCTGTAGAATCCATAATTCCAAACAGTTCCAAGATCGGACTACTAGATCAAAAGTTACAGCCCTTTGAATTTTTTGTCGAAATTGGTTTTTTGCCCATGAATATACCTATTATTCAAAGTTATCGTTGACTAATTAAAGCAAAAGCAATAAAGCGGCCTGTCAGCAGTAAGAAATAAAATACCGTTCTAATCTAATCTTTTTCGCCTGTGCAACCCAATTTCTATTTCTTCCCCCCCCCCCCTCTCCCTCTAGTACGCACTGGGTGACTGTATGTGAATAAATTTCTACGTACGCCACTGCTTCTGGGCATCGACCCTGAACAAATTTGTGATACCTTCTTAGTTTTGAAAAATCAGGGATGCCTCGGAAATGTTCAAAAAAGGTTTTGTGCGTACCAGTAGGAACGTTTTTCAGAATGAAGAACTTGATAAACATACATCATATAAAATGGCCTGTCTACATTGATTTTTTGTTTTTATTTTTTAAGTGGAGTGTAATGGCCGTGTAGCAAATTTGAGCAACATTTGAAATACTCAATTTACCTACATCCTATTTTGAACAGTTTTTTGAGTACTTAACATTTTTTGGATGTCCTAAAAAATCCAGTTAAAAAATAACAAAGTAATTTAAAGATTTTCATTTTGAACAGTTGCTATAAGTATCTCACCCCTAAAAGTATGAAAAATCGTTTTTTTTAAATTTCCTTTGAGTTTTCAAAGCTATAATTACCTATGTCAAATTAATATCCAACCAAGTAGGGCTGATCCCCAATAGGTAAAAATTCAATTCTTTTACAAGAGATGACCACACAATCAAGGGACACACTGTATGTCTGGGTTCATATAATATATTTAAATAAATGCAATGGAAAAATCGACTTTCAAAAGATATATTGAAATAATTAAAATTTACAAATGTTTAAACCATGTTTATTAGACAGTTTTTATTGCAATTTTCTTGCTGATCACAATTTTTAAAAAAATCCACCTAGAGACTTAATCTTTTAAACAGAGTAGGTATTTGTTGTCTTATGTAGACTAACCAAAAAGGTTCCAAATAAATCCGTGAAGTACAAAAAACTGTAATTTATTTCTGTACTTCAAAATGTGCATAAAACTCATCGAAATGTTCTCTAATAAACTGTTATGGTAAAGATGTGTTCACTAACTAAATGAAATTACCTACCTACTGAACATCCCCCTTGTGAAAGAGAGGGGAACTATAACTTGTACCATCGAGGGATCTCTGTATGACTTAATCTAATTCTGCACAGAAAGAAAATGAAGAAAGAATGTGTAAGTTTTATTATTGTATAAATACATAATTACAACATTAATTTTGCCACAATTTTAGAACTTTATCTTTTCCACCAGATGCAACCATTGCACCATTAGTCGACCAATCAACAGCATAAACTTCGTCTCCATGACCTGGCAAATCAAATTCCAATTTTTTAGTCCTCAAGTTCCACAATTTTAGAGTAGAATCTGCACTTCCACTAACCATTAACCTTGAATCCACAGAAAACGCGATCATATAAACTGCCTGCACATGACCTCGTAATGTACAAATAAACTGACCACTTTTACCATCCCACAACTTAATCGATTTGTCAAAAGATGCAGAGGCCAATATTCTGCCGTCAGGTGAGAATTTTACGTCATTCACCAACTGCTGGTGACCGGTTAAACGAGCGCGAGGTTTTTTATCATGTTCGGGATCCCATAAAAATAAGGTGAAATCGTCAGAACCCGACACTAATCTTTCCCCGTATGCTTTTATAACGTTATTATATCGCTCTTCTGCGAACTGTTGAGAGTTAACTGTAGCACCTTTGGTGAAATTGGCTGGATCAAATGGTCCTATTTTTAATATGTAATCGGAACTCAGGGCTAATGTATTAACCCAGTGAGCATGTCCCTCCAAAACTCGACAGAGAACGCCATCACTAGTCCTCCAAACACGGACCGTCCTATCTTGAGATGCTGTGTACAACAAACCAGAACCGCCCCACTTTACCACTGTAACGCTTTTTGTATGTCCAGATAAAATTCTCACAGTTTGACATAGATTGGTGTCCCAAATTCGAACATCGCCGTCCTTTGACGAACTTGCGAGCAATCTAAACAGTTCCGTTATTGATACAAAAAAAAATGGTAAAAAGGAAGTTACCTGCACTCTGGATTTTTGTGGTAAGGTTCCCAAGAGAGTGAAGTAACCCACTGTTTATGTCCGATCATTGTCTTCCCCAACTGCGTCCCAGTATCAGGATCCCAAATAATGATTTGCCCATTTTTACACGCAGATGCTAACTTTTTGCTGTTAGGTGACCACGATATGCACAAAACCCAGTTTCTATGGCCATGACATGAATAATAAGGATTTTGTGTATGCAAATCCCAAAAACGTACCGTCGTATCCCCTGACCCGCTCGCTAAATGTTTACCATCCGGACTAAAACTAACCGAAATAACTGCCTCAGCATGACCCGGCATCGAGCTTGTACATCTCGTAACCGGCCTAACACGAAATATTGCTTGTTGCTGATAGACGATGTCGACGACATTTTCGGTGTTTATTGTCGAAAGATCTACTGTCGACTTTAAATCTTGTGTAATTTCCACATCATTGATGAAGAAAAGGAAGGGCGTTCGCTCTTCGTTTTGTAAAATTGCGTTACAAATTAAGGTTAATTCTTCCAGTCCACATTCAAGGGGTAGGTCCATCATTTCGCCTAGTTCTTCTCCGGCTTCTGATTTGAAACGGCATAATATACGCTTTCGTTCTTCTTTCTCTTCTACCTCCATCTCGGACATTTTTTTAAAACACAATTTTAAATTTATGGACTGGACGTACAGAACTAACCTCAAATTAACACGTGGTGGACATTGACAAAACGTCAAGACAAGCCGACGATACACGATTGCTGTACGATGTTGATCGATTGCGGTGAGAAAGTGAAGGCTATCGTCAAGAGATGGCGGATGCATGGCAAATTTTAAATTCAATTTTTGCGCTTCCAAGTTTCAGTTTTTTGGCGCCGTTTATTTGTTAATATTTTACATTATTATTAAGAATAATTGCAAATATTGTGTCCCTTAATTATTCAATTACTATTTCTGATATTAATTAATACCTAGAAACTTGTGAATAACAGTGGGATTAACTGAACACTGAGGCCAATGAGTAAAAAGGGGTATTCAAGTTCATCTCCAGTTCTCTTAAAGTTCTCTCAAGCTTACTTTCAATGCTTTTCACGGGAAGTGGGCAGAACGAAAATGTAATTCTCTTCTTGAGACTTGGAGGTTGTTGAATCAGTGCTGGCAGTTCTAGAGGTCATTGAAGGGTTGGTAGGGATGCTGGAGATTCTTGACAAGTGTCCCTTGAGCGAGAACTCTGTTGATTGTCCGGCTGGGTCGCGTTGTCGACAGTATGCGGATATGCGGGTTTCAGTGCATCTATTGAGACCATAAGTGATTTCCCGTTGATGTCTACTCTATAACGTAATTTCTATCGCTGGCACGGTGGATGCGATGCGGTGCGATCCCGTGTATGGTGGTTGGAGAGGTTCCTTGATAGAATATATCTACCCTCTTAAACACATGGGTATAATTTCGCAGGTTTCTTGAAAACGAACGGCATTTTTTCCGAAACGTGCCTGGATGGTATTTGCTATTCGGTGGACCCTTTCCGCAAAAGTCGTAGTATAGTAATGCGCCATAAGTAAAAAATTTGCTGTGGCTTATAGCACGGATACCACCCGTACACCAGCGCATGCCCGATTCTACACTTTTCTGTCTAAGAACATGCGTATCAAATTTGGTTCAAATCGGTTCAGCCGTTTAGCCGGAAATGAGAATACAGATGGACCGCGACGCACCGACATCATCAAGATTTTGTTTCATTCTGATTCATGGTGCTTCAAAACGTGTATTTCCGCCAAAAAAGTTGACAGAATAAGTTTTACACCTTTTCTGGAAAATATTGATGTATTAATTCCTACTTCCGGCTGCGGGGAATTTCAGTACGGTTCCACGACATTGCACTTCCGGTCATGTTTTGCGCCAATTGTAGATCCAATCATTACAAATTATATTAACATCTCATTATATGTTCGACGATGGACGACATTGCCAATCAAATCATACTACTTCCGGTTATTAAGGCTCACGTCCGGTAATATTTAGTATCCATTTGTAGATCTGATTATTTCTAACATTTTTCATACAACACTAATCTTGTTATCTCCAATGATATAGACGCTAGGTACACTGTGTTTTCTATAAGTATGCATTACTTCTGGTGTGTCTTCTGGTAGGGTGCCCACGGAAAAATTTGAAGTGAGTCCATATCTAAAATTGATCCCTATGGCCTGGAGTACATCTCTACAAAATGGCATGCTTTCTTCACGAAATGCACGATGTCAGGACTATGCCGCTGTACTATAGGGCAAGTTTCTGAGTATCCCCTGGGACCCTGATCGTCGTCCCATACAACATCTGCGCTGAAGAAGTTTGCTTTGAAAGTCGTGTGCATGCCTAGGAGGGCCAACGGCAGGCGATCGGGCCACGGTGTTTTTGGGTCGCACATGAGATGAACAATCAAAAAAGGACTGACGGCGAGTCGCCTTTGGAACTAATGTAAACAAAAATTCCAAAGGTGACTCGACAGTAACTCTTTTTTGATAATAGATATAACAATATAATATTATGTGTACAAATCACTGATCACAGGTGACCAGTTCTGCAGTGGGTGGCTACCTGCGATGATTGACGTGACTGTTTTTATACTGCAAAAGCAATAGTTCTCCAGTTAAAGACTTTTCGTTGTGTTTCTTTCTTATATGGTGTAGCACAGCCCCGAGACGAGACCGACAAAAAATTTTTTGGATTACTCACTTCCTTCCCGAGTTATCACCGATTCTAAGCGTGGAAAATGCGCTTTCCTCGGTCGCGAGTGACCACGGCTATACTACTTTATTTTGTTTGACCGTTTCTACCCGTTACCGTTGTTATGGTTTCTTTTGCGACCTGATCATTTATTCTCCTCAAAATTTATTTCTGGGCGCTGCTTATGCGTCGGTCCTTTACATATCTGTAAATGTGTAGTGGGCTGGGTTGGTAAAGCAACCTTGGGTGAAACATTGAAAATTAATTTTATTCAATGACTGAAGCCTCGTCCACTTATAAAATAAAGACAAAAACCGTATCAGTGTTCCAATATACTTGCAAAAATGTGACTAGTTTTTTACCCATACTTGGCTTAATTTCTAAACTATGAAGCCTTTCAAAAAAACCAGTTTCTTGGTTCATATAAAATAAACCCCTAAAGCAAAGCCGATCTTAAAAAAGCGGCAGAGCTCTCGGTTTGACCCTAGGGGGGCGCATTTTTAATAGTCTTGTTACATACATATTTATAATCTGCCATATTGAGAATACAAAAATTGTAGAGGACCAATATACCTTGTCGTGTTAAATTGTGATCGTATTAATTATTTAGGTATCAAGAAGGCTCCTCTGTAGTCAATCCGCCATATTGGAAAAATAGCTAAACTTTCTTATGAAATGCTGCTTTTTTAGTTGAAGTCTATCAAACTCCCGATAGTGGATATTCTTTGCAATGATGAAAAGAACGGCGGTACTTAAAAAAATTGAAATATCGGTCTTAGTTTTTTAGGAAGATCGATGAATAGAAAAATCGTTTTTTGTAGATAACAACCGTTGTAATGAGGGTAGAAAATCGTACAGCACCAATTTGGAAATCCGACAGTATTTCCTACGACGGTACTTAAAGATATTATTTCCACCTATTATGATAAGGCATATAATTTTAAAAAATATGTTTCGCGATCTTTCCTAATGATATGGATTAGATAAATTATTATTTATTTATTTGAATTCTGTTGATTTGTAAATCATGTCACATATTCCCAAGACGAAAAATGGATCTCCTATTATAGGTACATTGGAAATAATTTTTTTATTTCTAAAACCTTTTGCATCCCATCAGGATGCTTCAAGAAATAAAAAAAACCCTATAATGAAGCTGTAATAATATTTCCCTTTGACGGGGCGGGGGTACGTACAATACTAGGTACTTCACACAGGGGCGGACTGGGTAACTGCGGGCCAGGTGGAATTGCATAGGTTACATTAAAGTATTAGTGTAGTAATGATGGTGACCGGGGGGGGGGGGGGGTAGCTCTGAGGTGCACCACAAAAACAATTACCATACAGTTTTTTTTTAATTGCAGCTGATAATTAAAAGTAACCCTATCATTGTATTTCAGCACTTTCATGCTACGACAAAAAATGATAAATTCATTGTAAAACACTTCAATTAAAACAGAATTTTTTAACAACCTATCAACCCCAATTAGAGAAACGTGTTAATAATTTATTATAGTGCAAGAAACTAAATACAGCACATACTTATAAATTTCCAAAGGGTCATTATGATCTACAGGCCAGGTGGCAATCGCCACCTGCCCCCCCCCCCGGGCCAGTGCGCCACTGGTTATACACTGCCTTTTTTTGATTTCTTATAGAATGTGGCCTGTAGAATCCATAATTTCAAACAGTTCCAAGATTGGGGTACTAGTTCAAAAGTTAAAAGAAATTTTGGTGTAGTCGAATTTTGGTAAAAAAGGAAGGTTATACAGAGGGGCGGACTGGGTACTTACGGGCCATTAAACTATTAGTGTAGTAATGAAGGTGCCGGGGGGGGGGGGGGTAGCTCTGAAGTGCACCACAAAAACATTTTAAAGTACTCCTTTCTCGAAAGGTTTTTTTTTAAATTGCAGCTGATAATTAAAAGTAACCAAATATACAATCCACACGAGGTGCGTCGCCTATCATTGTATTTCAGCACTTTTATGCTAAGACAAAAAATGATAAATTCATTGTAAAACACTTCAATTAAAACAGAATTTTTTAACAACCTATCAACCCCAATTAGAGAAACGTGTTAATAATTTATTATAGTGCAAGAAACTAAATACAGCACATACTTATAAATTTCCAACGGGCCATTATGATCTACAGGCTAGGTGGCAATCGCCACCCCCCCCCCCCCCGTGCCAGTCCGCCCCTGACTTCACATATTATATCATAAGTAGTGCTGAATATGAACTCTGTTTTATAACAATGCTTTCAAACTACCAAAAGCGTAGCACTTTGTTTAGTTAGATCAAATCAAATATGACTAAATTACACGTTTGTGTATATTTCCCATCTAAAATTATCAGTTTCCTCAGATAGTCCAGTATGCGGAGCAGTCAGAAGGGCCGATTCCTGTAAAATGTGGTGTAAACGTTTTAAATGGTCCATTTGGGTCCAAATAACATGTATTTGAAGAGTGCACCCCAATTTTTTCCCGGCACAACTTTTGGCAGCCAAAAAACCTCAAAACGTTCGGACTTTTTTCAGTTTTTCGCTTAAAACTCGAAAACGGTCCATATTTTATGAATAACACTTCTTTAGTAAATTAAAGAAAACAAAATTCTGCGTCGATAAAAAAAACAAACAAAATCGGTCCAATAGAAAAATTTTTACAAGCGATCAAAAAACGCCCATTTTTTCCAACTTTTCTAAAGAACTGAGTTAACCTTTTTTTAATGCGTTGTGGCTCCTAAAGGAACGATAAAATCCACTACCCCCCTCCCTAAAGATTGTAGAACATCAATCAGAGAGTTCAAAAAGTACCAACAATTTAAAATTGGACCAATTTTTGAAATTCGTTGGAAAAAATGGGCGTTTTTTGATCGCTTGTAAACATTTTTCTATTGGACCGATTTTGTTTGTTTTTTTTGATCGACGCATAATTTTGAATTTCTTTAATTTTCTAAAGAAGTGTTATTCATAAAATATGGACCGTTTTCGAGTTTTAAGCGAAAAACTAAAAAAATGCCAAAAATTTTGAGGTTTTTTGGCTGCCAAAAGTTGTGCCGGGAAAAAATTTGTGCGTACTCTTCAAATACATGTTATTTGGACCCAAATGGACCATTTAAAACAATAAAATCTTTTACACCACCTTTTGCAGGTCAAAATTATCTGCATACTGGACTAAGAGTAAGTCTTCGTGAAAATTATCTATTTCGAGAAATGCGACCAAAAGCAAAAGATGCACATGCCCTTTGCTTTCCATAAAGTTGCGCCCAATAGATAACAAATGACACATAGGCATTTTTTCACTTATTAGCGGAACATAAACATACGAAACGTCGTGGTATGTTATATAAAAGAAACGCTACCGATATAAATACAATTCCCCTTTTTAGTTAAATTCCTAAGCGGGATACGATAACTAATGGCCGACACTGACAATTTTATTTAAAACAAAGTGTCACTGTTTTGCTCATGTAAAGTCCAGTTAGTGAAAGTGGTGGATATAAAAAAATTCTCGCACTTTTAAAAAAATTCGACTATTTATCTTTCCGTTTGAGAATACCTTTTGATGGAGGCCCACAAACTTCACATCAACTTGGCGAATTTTTTTCAAATTTCCAATACTGTGTAGCGACAGAAACCGTTAAATTTTTTACTACTACCTACTTCTTTTTTCAATCTGGACTGATATCAACTTTATCAACATGAATATTTGTCCCTCAAAAAATAGGAGGATCAAGGAAATTTTATTTTTACCATTGAATTCTGGGAAAAAAAGTGAAGTCATCTTACATGCATAGATATAAATAAGTAATACGCTAAATGTACAATTGTTATTAATTTTGGAAAAGATAAGGATTTATTTAGAATCAGCATAAATGTTATACTTTTAATCATTGTAACAGAATTTTAAATGTTAGCTACCGTTTTTATGAAAAACATACAATTTTTGTTGCTGTTCACCCTTGTATAAAGTAAAGAAAGATTTATTTTAGGTGTTCGAAGTGCCGGTTTTTTGTTAGGATCTACCATACCTAAGTGAATTCATTCATGCACATGTACCTAATAACTATAAAAATCTATAAATCAGTAAAAATGATTAGAACAAATCGCAAGAAATAAAGGGGTACCTAATTAAAAAATGTTATAACAAACAATGCTAATCTAGTCCACTAATTACCTGAAAACCAGGTAATTTACAGAAGGTGTCATTACAGAAAAATGCAATACCTAAATGCATTGAATAAGTAATTTATTCAACGGTAACAGAAATAGGTATTTGTGCATCTCCAGTCAAATATTGTACAGCTTTTCGATATACTTGTTTACATAATTAGTCCTTGATCATTATACATGGTCTATTGTGTTTAACAATAAATCAAGAGAATATGCAAAACTGAGAAGGATAGATACATCGTTGGTTTCACTCAAGGAGATCGAGTAGCAGTGTGTATTGTTGGTGGTCTAACCAATTGCAGTAACACCGAAATACAAATTGACTACAGAGGAGCCATATTAATGCCGAGGGAGACAGAACCCGAGGGCCTCTGGCCCGAGGCATTGTTAAGTTGCCCGAGGGTTAAATATCGAGGTGCATACAACATTTTATTTTTCATCGTTCCAAATAATGCATTTCCCGTGTAGTTAATGATTATTGTTTGCCATCATTAAAGTGGTTCACACGAATCAAGTAGGTAGCATCTTTTTTTATTACATAATTGACTCCGTCAATATACAGGGTGTTACATGACCGTATGTAAAAAAATTTGATAGAGGGGATCAGGACAAGTACTTTTTCCAAATAATCCGAGGGTCCAACGTGTTTCGTTTGAGAGCCACCCCCAAACAAGTGGTGAAATTTGCATTTCTTCATTAATTTTTTTCTCAGCAACCATAAGAGTTACAAAGATGGGTGGGCACGTTTTTGAATAGGTTTTCGGGTATGCCCTATTCTTGGGGGTGCGAAAACAATCCTGATTTTGACGAAATTTGGTATCTGGGGGGTTTTTAAACCTGAAAATGACGAATCTGGAATTAGTTTTTGAAAATTCGAAACTTGTTTGTTACTTTTCCAATGTGATTTCTTCAATTTAATAATATTTATTATTTCACATGACATGTTATATGCAATCTTTTCACAGAAAAATAAGTTTAATCACTTGCATCAAATCGGCCACTATTGAATCTTGGGGTAGATCGGCTACGGGCTACCGCTTCCTATTTATGAATTATGCCTGTAATTCATTATGCAATAAATATACGCTTTGAATAGGTGAGCACAATTTAAATGTTGCCACGCCTACATTTAAATTTTACTCAAGTGCAGCCTTTTGTGTACGAATATTGGATTTTGGGTGGACGTTCACTACTGAACATCATAAAAAGTCGATAAATAGTTATTTCTTGTATTTCATTTTTTATAAATATAATACATAATCACCTACTACAATGCCAATATTAAACATCTCTGTGTACATCCGTCAAAAATCTTTTCTCATTTTGTACAAAATTCTAAAAAGTAGTTAAATAAGTTGTTACCTACTTAAACATCAATAAATAATCTTAACTAAGCTACTGTACCAACTTATCACCGGCTTCGTTTTACTTTTTGTTTAGATGTTGAAATTATCAACCCACACCTCTAAATTTCACAAAACAAAGTATCTCCGAAACCATATTGATACATAAATATCTATATACACTATATACAATAGCAAGTGTTTTTGACGACAAACAAAAATTCCAGAAATTAAATTCAAACTTAAATCAGTCTCAAAAAAAAAAGCTCTTTGGCCTGTTAATACCTTCTCATTATTGAGATTTCCTGTGTGTGATTAAAGCTTCATCTATTTCGTCTTTCGGTTGATCTGAGTCACCCCATCCCCACAACTCGTGCGTACCGTCACCCGTTCGCAAGACCCGCTTCTTTATTAAATCTTCGGGCACGGTCTTCAATTCGTACGCCCAACCAATCCTGGCCATAAAATCTATAAATGCGGTCGTGAAGTTCGTGCTGTATTTCCCCAGTTCGGATGTCTTGTAGTCCCATGGGAACGTGTGGTGGTAATTGTGCCAACCTTCGCCCATTGCGAGTACTGCTACGCTCACGTTTTCGGAGGGGCTGATATATCTGTAATGTAAAGTTGTATTTTTTGCGAGCGAGAATTGCGCGTTTCAACTGACCTGTCGTAGGGTTTATGTCCGAACATGTGCGCGGCCGAGTTGACGAGCCAAGTGGCGTTTAAGGTGAAGGTGTAACGGAATAGGTTGATGCAGAAAGAGTTGGTGAAGGTTTCGTCCCAGAGGTACATTGGGATAGCAGTGGGGATGATGAAGCAAATTATTGGCATAAGTAAAAGGTACAATTTCTTTTGGTATTTTAGGATGGGATCGTTGTATAAGTCGGATAGGTCGATGCCTTTGCCTTTTGCTCTGACGTCGGGGTGCTTTCTACACAGTAACCAGCCAATGTGTGCGAAGAAGAAACCTCGAGTGGCATTGTGGGGGTCGGCATCGGTTTCACTGTACTTGTGATGGACTCGGTGATCACGTGCCCAGTCTACCACAGCATCCTAAGTACAGAAGTGTTAAACATTGTTCATTGAGCAGTGCTTTTAGACATACCTGAAAGGCTAACGTGTTGAGGAATGTCAGAAGTAATCTCAATGGCCACTTTGCTTTGTAGGAGCGATGAGCCCATAGTCGGTGAGCCCCTGCTGTAATTCCAAGTCCTCCCAATTGATATAGTAAAAAACCTACACATAACGGAATTATTAGCTTTAGAAGAGAGATGGAGATGCGAGTACGTACCCCACAGAGATGTGTATATTCGAGCTGAAGTGAACATTAGGTAAACTCCGTAAACGGACGCTATGTGCAGGTAGGCGAAAAGTATTATATTCCTCCAAACTAAGTGAAGTTTATGTTCTTGTGACTTCTTTACTTCGGGAATGTGAGGCACCATTGGCACCTCCTCGTCGGTTTCCATCAAGACACCTGTAGGCGCTGAGATATTTGGAGCCATTTTTTCAATCTGTAAAAAACGCACTGTGTAATACTAATTTTGAGAGATGACAAAAACGGACTTATTCAAACAATTAGATTGGGTATCTTGACCTAGCGCAATAGTCGCACTTACGAGCAAGCCGGCGAGAGAAAGAGATCACGCCGACGCGAATATCGATTTAAATACGGTCGCGCTTTCAGGATTTCAGCAATTTCATTTTCAGGGTCATTGAGATGTCAATCGATGACCTTGGGATGTTGAATGTGGTCTGATCAAATTTCATGACGTGTGGGACGTGGGGCGGATTTTCGATCTAAGCAAAACGCGGAAATGCACAGTTGCTTTCCACAATAATTTTTATTATTGTTTGATACTCAAACTCGAGTGATCAATTACTGACGTCACAATTTTTCTAAATATCTTCCCCCTCGTGATCATTTTTTTTAATTCATAAATTTCAACAAGAAAAATCGTGCCCCTGAAATCAGAGGCAACTATACTGTTGGAGGAGAGGGAATGTAGACTCAGTGGGCTTGAATATCACGTTGAATGCCACGTTGTTTAGCCCTTTGGGGCCCTCATACACGGAAACCATCCGACCAAATCGCATTCAATTTTAGTAGGTACGTTGTCACGCATTCTAAATGTTATTTTTTATTACTGCTTGCGATGTGGTAAAAAACTTTAATCAACAAGGACAGAAAATGTTTCTGTAGTATCTCTTTTATCCTTAGTAATATTAGTATCCCGTTTTCAGATGATCTCCGACTGCATTAAAATAGTAACGTGACCACGTAATTAAAAAAAATGGCTCAATTCGTTTTTTCAAGTTATCTCGTTTATTTTTAAAAATATCAAACACAACTTATTTATACCGGAATTTTTGGTTTTGTCTATAGATATATTTTTTGAAATTGAATGTCATTGAGCTAGGATATTTGTTATAAAAAAGTCGGTGCAAAAATTTTTTCATTTAAAAAAAAAGTACGATATTATGCTATAAATCGCGATTGCAAATGTCCCACTTCTTTTGAAAAATAGGGGTTACACATAAGAAACAGAAATTTTTTATTCTCAAATTCTACAGCAGATTGCGTTTTTAGACTTGCACAGTTATCGAATTATAGCACAAAGTTGTACTTCTTCAAATTGAACATAGCAAATTTTACATTGCCCTATAAGTGGAGTGCCATTGAAAATGTACACTATAACAAGTCTCTGCAAAATGTATATTATATATGGTCCATTTGAAAAACCACAAACTTTCTGTTTCTGCTTTTCCGCCATTTTTAAAACTAAACAAAAACGAATTGGAGCATTTTTTAAATTGCGCTGTTGCCTCGTTAGTTACCATTTCAGTTAGGTGAAAAGGGTCAAGCACAATCGCATGTGGCTTTGAGAAATCGGTCGACTCGAGACTGTGGCAACCGCTTTCTAACATTAGGGACTAAGAGTAAAAAGGTCTTTTTAGGACTGGCGAAAAACCGCATTTTTGAACACGGAAAAAAACGTGTAGCTGTCATGACACGTAACGGGCGATCAAAAATGAATTGCTGTCGAGTCGCCTTTGAAGTTCAATTTCCCGTGAAAACAAAAATTCCAAAGGTGACTCGACAGCAACTCATTTTTGATCGCACAGTAAAAACGGATGCAATAATTATAGTCGCATAATTTATCATTTCGTTGGACGGTATTCCTATCGATTTTTTAGTTACCAAAAAAGTTCTATTTAATCGCTGGGTTTTTAATAAAATTTGTAAAGTAATATCGAACAATCTATTTCCAATATTACAATTAAGAAACTCAATTGTAAGTAGTATGGGTCAACGTTATCGGTTATCTTTCATAATTGCTCATTATTGCGGATTATTAAAAAGACCACATATCAATTATGATAAGACTCGCTTATCGGCTGCGAAACCAAAAACCATTTTAAACAGAATTGAAAATCGGGGAAATTTGCGACTTTTTATTTTGCACTGTGCGTGTACCCCACATAATTATTGATCTGAATATTCTGAATGGTATACTACTAACCGGAATATCTAAATTGGGCCCACGCGACTATTTTCGGCAATGATTCGAATTTGAACCGGAACTCGGAAGTACTAACAACTTCCGCCCGCAATTATTTCGCGCGCGCGGTTTTTTTAAATAAAGCGCGACCCGTGGACGAATACAATAAATTAGGCAATAACGAATGTGCGGGCATCAGGTCTCGAGTACGAACACAATCAATGTCGTTAAGGTGAACTCATTTATCGAATTTCAATTGTCGTTAACCGCATTAATAATAAACTACGATTATATTTGCGTAAATTTAAATAAATTTTGTAACGTGAATGGCTAATAAACGTTCGTCGAAAATTAAAAAATATAAAACGTAAAATTTGACGCACGAAAGAAGTGAAATTGAAATCGGTGCAAATAATTTGCAAAAAATAAAAAAGTACTTACATAAGAACGAAGTTAATTTCACTGTAATAATCCAAAGAAAGTATTTTTGAAAATTCGCACCTTATGAATAGGTACGATTTTAATGAACTCCACCGACTTAACTGACTGAATTTGAAGCTCCGAAAAGCTTTTATATGGAAATAATTTGACTCGTCTGACTTATCTGATCGCCACTAGGTGCAGATTCGTAAGAGAGCAAAGGTGCTAGTAAAAGGCCATGTTATACTCTCATGTCAAATTCGCCGGTCGCATCTTGGATACACGTGGATCACGCGATAGATCTCGCTATTGCGAGGCCGGTGATTTGGCGGCGCAGTGGCGTGATCCTAGTCCACCCCACCACTCGCCCTAACGGTCTCCTTTTAGTCTGCATTGTACTAGGTAATGATTTATAAATTATTTCGGCAACTTGTCCAACCGTACATACTATAGTTACCTAATTTCCTTCTAACTTTAATTACAATATGCGATAAGTGACATTTATTTGTCGTTTACTTTCTTTTATAATTACATACATACTCATTACACACAAATTGCTATAATCACTTCAATTACAGGCATTTTGCGGAATGTGTGATGGGGAATCCTGTAATTATTGCCCAACATATGAAATAATTAATCTTCAATCGATTGTTTCCGGCACGTTGACAATGCAGGTCATTGTCAAGGGGGGGGGGGGGGGGGGGTCGTGGTGTTTCAAATCCCGAAATTTTGAAAAACAGTTGAAAATTATTAAAATGTACCTACGTATTACCCAAAATTTTCCGTTATTGACTTATTGCATAACAGAAAATTCCATTGTGCAATAATGATAAATCACGCATAAGTCCATATAATACCTACGCATTACGGAAGAATTGGAGGGTAAGCGTGCCCTTCATAATTGAATTGTCTCACACTCTCATACAGTAATACACAAATTATATGCGAGGTACCTATGCACTTCTTCGGGCAAAACTTACCTACCTACCATGCACGTGGTTAGGTTGAGTTTTAAGGGTAGGCTTTCACCTCGATAAACACGAAAAAAATCGCGTTCAGTTCCAATGCCAAATAACATAGCTCATTCCAGCTGGAATTCCACTAAATCTACATACTAGGTTTTATAGTATACTGTCGTACTTTGTACTTTGTATCGGATGGCGAATTGAACCCTTAGGAGGCCCTATGCACAACGCAATTTTGAGGCCCCTCTCCTAATAAAAATTCAAAATTCTTAAACATTTTTAAATCGTGAAATTTATGAGCGTATTTTCCTCAAAGTGAAAAATCGCTCTTGGCTGCCCTTTGGCGTCCGTCCGTCCGTCCGTCACACGTACTCCTTCTATACGACTGACTGAACCGATTTGGGCGAGATGGGGCTCATTTGAAAGGGCTTGGTCCAAGGATTCCCTGTATACCCATATTTTTTAGTTTTGCGCATGCGCAGTGTCAAGAATTTGGTTTAACGCATGTGAAATGTTAACTTATTTATTTACGAAAATATTTAAATGAAACTATGACATGTGTACACACTACGAATACAGGGTGTCTTAAATTAAGTAGGATAACATGACTATCTTAGTTATTATTATACTTACAGATCCGGTTAAATTGAAAAAGTTGTGTAGTTTTTGATTCTAAGGGATATTCCGATGCGATATCTTAAAAAAAATTCGTTTCGTAGATAATAAGTTCAAACATTTTAGTAACAAAGAGAGCTATCGAAAAAAGCTTCAAATCGTTTCGTAGATAATTCAAAAAAAGTTCAAATATTTTAGTAACAAAGAGAGCTATCGAAAAAGGTGTCAAATAAAAGTTGCAAGTTGCAAATGGCGGTTGTCGAGATATTGACATCAACTTCCTTATTTAAAATGGGCGCCATATTGGATTTTTACGTCACTCGATAGAGAAAAAAATTACAAAACCGGTGATACTAAATACTTAGTATTTCATTTGGGAATCAACCTTACATTTTTGCCTGGAAGTTTACAATGTACTTCTTATGGCAATAATTCCATGGCCGTGTCGATGGTGACTATGCGAGACAATAAACGAACGAATTTGGTTTTAATCATAATCAGCCATGGAATTATTTCAATAAGAAATATATTGTAAACTTCGAGGTAAAAATGTAAGGTTGATTCCTAAATGAAATACTTAGCGTTTAGTATTTGGTTTGTAATTTTTTCTCTATAGAGGTACGTAAAAATCCAATATGGCGTCCACTTAAAATAAGGAAGTTGATGTCAATATCTCGGAAACCGCCCTTTAAAAAAATTTTTTTCTACGTTCATTGAATTAACCCATCGAATCTTGCAACTTTTATTTGAAACTTTTCGATAGCTCTCTCTGTTACTAAAATGTTTGAACTTATTATCTACGAAACGAATTATTTTTTTTTCAAAATTTCGCATCGGAATATCCATCAGCATCAAAAACTACACAACTTTGCCAATTTAACCGAAGCTGTAAGTAGAAAAATATGAAAGATAGCCATCCTATCCTACTCAATTTAAGACACCCTGGATAAGTAAAATTAACGACATTTTCAAAATGTTGTTTTGCGCATGCGCAATGCCAACCTTCTTATTTATGAAAGCATTTAAATGAAATTTATCCAAAATCGTCCTGAAACCTTTCTGTCAGGAAATTTTAGTTTTCATGACAGAGGCAGAGCAGACTACGTTTCCTGTCGTTTGTCACCTTACTGGCCGCACCTGTCACTTTATCGGTCGCACTTGTGACATTACCAAATGTCTATAATGACATGCCATCACTGACAGATTGACACTAATCAAAAGTTCTATATGGCAATTGAAATTTTATATTAATAGTTATCATTGAATAAACTGTTTTCACGTTTTCTTGCATGTTGCTAGGAGCAACCTTACTTTTTTCACAGTTGTAGAAAAACTACGATTTCGAGTAAAATTTAATACAAAACTTGTCAGTAAAATGGCAATACTCGGAAATTAAGGCACTCGGCCTCTGGGGCCTCGTACTTCAATATTTCCTCGCCATTAATGTGTCATTTTCTTGACTTTTATGTAAATAACTATTAATACATAGGCACTTGGAAGAAAAGCAGATCTAACATCACTTTCAAAATTTGTTTATATTTGAATAGGCGCCACTATTTTTCAATAAACTGTACTCATTTGAAAGAGAATGGGGTAAGGATCTCGTACCTACCGCTTTTTTTCCCGGGCCCTAAGCATTAATATTATTAGGAGGAAAATACGCTCTCGTCATTTATGTTTGCATAATGACTTTTGAACTTGTTTAATATGTGTTAGGACCGCTACCAGTAATGTATACTGTATATGCAGGTTTGCAGCTTCGATAAACCTGTGTTAACTTTGCACCACCCGAAAAACCTCACTTCTTGTAGTGTTTTTAATATAAGTCTTAAACTATGCGTTTTTTTAAAAATGTTCTAAGTATGCGTTTTTAAAGTAGACTCACATTTTTACCGCATTTCCACAAAAATAAAAAAAAATGCGCTATTGTGGCCACTTTGTCCGCCCGCCCGTCCGTCCGCTCGTTTTGCGACGCTACTAGTTCTTTATCTTAAGAGCTATTGTTCTACTTTTTTCGCTATTTGGTTCGTTATGGTGTCGAGTCTTGTACCAAGGAAGGAATTTTTTCTGTACCGCTTACAAAAAAAGTTATTGTAAAAAAAACAAAAAACCGTTTTTTACATGTTCCATAATTTTACACTTTTGCCGTTTATTAACGATCCTAGAGATCGTTTATAATTTTGCATTGCTATCTGTCGCCTGCCGGTTGGTCTGTCCGTCTGTTTCTTTGTCTGTCTGTCCATCTATCTGTCCGTGTGAACGATAACTTTGTTTAGAAATGTTCGATCGCTTTTACATCTCCGTTAGTTATGAACTGAATTGCATGAAATTCAATATGGGCATAGCTTTAGCCATATAATACGCAATGCCAAAAGTTGAATCGAATCGATTCAAAATTCACAGTGCCCTTTTCGCATCTCGACCATTTATAAACCGAATTGCAAACTTTTTTACTTATAAAAGTATTTGAATGAAATTTGATACATAGGCACTTGGAATAAAGGAAAATCAAACGCAAATTTCAAAATTTGGTTTTGCGCATGCGCAGTGCCAACTTTTTTATTTATGGAAGAATTTAAACGAAATTTGATACATAAGCACTTCGAATAAAGGAAAAATCAAACGCCAATTTCAAAATTTGGTTTTGCGCATGCGCAGTGCCAACTTTTTTATTTATGGAAGAATTTAAACGAAATTTTATACATAGGCACTTGGGATAAAGGAAAATCAAACGCCAATTTCAAAATTTGGTTTTGCGCATGCGCAGTGCCAACTTTTTTATCTATGGAAGCATTTAAGTGAAATTCGATACTTAGGCGCTTGGAACAAAGGAAAATCTAACATTAGTTTCAAAATATAGGTTTGCTCATGCGCAGTTCCAACTTTCTTATTTAGAAAAGCATTAAAATGAAATTCTTCTCATAAACTGAAATTGAAGTAGCACGTCAAAAATGGATTGCCCATGTACAACGCTATCTTTCATATTTGTGGCCGGATTTTTACGATTTTAATAGAAGTTGCATCTTACAAATGGGAAATGAATGCAAGTGGAAATGCGCTTTATGTAAATCGTTAACGATTACTTTTTAACTTGTTATAATTATTTATAACCAGCTTTGCAGGTCTGATACTTGCCGACATACAACCCCTCAAAGATTGAAAAAAAACTGAAATTTTAAGATTTGGTCAATTTTCAACCCCGTTGTCGAAGAAAATACGTAGGTACTAATTTTACTCACAAATCTTAGAAAACGCAAAAAATGGGAAAACTGATGATTTAAAAGTAGGTTTAAAGGAGAAACCGTAGGAGAAACCGTGTACACTCACAAGAAATTTATATTTAAACTATTAATATTGTATTTATACTGATATTTATTTAAAAAAAAAATAGTTATTTATGTTATTATTTACCTAAGGTATTACAAGGAAATGATTTTCGGTTAAAATTGTTCGTGGGCGGATTAAAATTGTCTGATTCAGCCTGATCCTTTTTAAATTGGAGGTGAGTGGAGTCTCCTCGTACGATAGCTAAGGTTTCGATACGCACTGCCTCCCCATAAGCTCATGAAAACCTTATTGCTTAGCTTATAATCCATTGTAGTTGTGATGCATAGTTGTAGATCTATCGATCTATCACACTCGAGCTCGACTGAAAGGAAGTGGATTATTTTATTATCAAAACCTTTGGTTGACGCTCTGTTAAGTACGACAGAATCAAGTTTTCAGCAACTCCCCTAACATCATACAGTTCTAATTTATGCAGCAGTATTGGTAACAGCATTAGAAGTTTTAGAAAGATCAAACAATATACCCAAAACCTTTTGTTTCTATTCCAATCCTTTTATTATCGATTGACTAAACACAACAATCTCAAACGAAACCTTTTGCGTCCCGTCTTCCATATCAACCATTTTTTTGACATACATATCCATTAGACTCTATACAGGGTGGTGACTTGCGTAACGCATCATAGGGATTTCAATGTAAAGTTCATTATATTATAACATGCGATTATTGGCTCCCCAAATTATTTTAGAGCAAAAATGTATTAAGGTTTTTTGTAGAAAAAATTTTTTTACGTCAATCAACCGTATTAGTTTTCAATTTTTTGCATAATAAAGACAGAAAATTGGAAAAATAAAATCCCCATCTTTTTCAATAATCTGTGATGCCATGGAATTTTCTAATACAAAAACTACGCCAATATCCGTCATGCCATGGAATGTCCGCTATAAAACAAATCAAATTCTATCAAAAAGTATTATATTTAGAACAGCGAATTCAACATAAAGAAAGACCAAATTACTAAAAACGGTTTCCTAATATAACAATTTACAATAAATGTTCGAATAAGTCACCACTAACTGCAATCCAGTAACCAAGTCGATCATAAGATCCATTTCGAACTGCTGTAAATTGATAACTGGCTATCTTTTTGTTTTAGAAAATTCCATGGCATCGCAGATTATTGAAAAAGATGCGGGTTTTATTTTTCCAATTTTCCGTCTTTATATGAAAAATATTGAGAACTAATACGGTTGATTGGCGTAAAACAATTTTTTCTACAAAAAACTTTAATACATTTTGTTCTAAAATAATTTGGGGAGCCAATAATCGCATGTTATAAATTTTACATTGAAATCCCTACGATGCGTTACCCAAGTCACCACTCTGTATAAATAAACGCAATAAACGTAATTTTAAAATTCGAAATCGTTCGCGCATTATCATGTACACAGACGGACGAACAGAAAGTGCAAAATCATGAACTCGCTTAAGAGCCTGTTAATACATTGGTGCATACGTACTAACCAAACCTCTGATTAAAAAAGTACGCTATATTCAAGGAATCAAAGCAACGGTCGATTAGTTAATAAACAAAATGTAGGTACCTAGTATCATATTCCGGTACTATCGCTATAGTAACTATGTTATTAATAGCGCAAAATAATACCCAGAGACGGGAAATCCGTAAAGCACTACTCATGTAATTCAGAAATTGAATATTAAAATTGATAGGAGCGGTACCTGCTTAGGTCAGGTCTTTTAATCTCTCATTAAACGTATTCGACAGATAAATACTGAGATGAGACTATACGATTGTATGAACAATGGTATCAGTTAAATTTCTTGGAGATTAAAAATATTGGTATATGAAATGAACTTACTCATCAGACTATCTTTTACCCATACTATAAGTAAGTAGGTATATACCTGAAATGTAATGTTCAGACATCAAGGAATATATAGAACAATCTGGTATGTTTAGGTGTTGTAGGGCAAAATCATCTCAAAGAATTGCAAAAACTGGCCTTCCTTGCAAAAATCACCTTCAAATATTTACAGCGACTCGAACAGTGCATCTTCCCTCATAACCACAACAAATTTTTAAAATTTGTACATTAAGGTAAAGAACTGTTCGTCCTTATTCCAGTTCAAGATGAACTAATAAATGATTTATTTGTGAAATGTATTGAGTAAGAGATCGCCATCTGAAAATACAGAATAAGGTAAGAAAAAGATGAGTGAAAAATTGATCTATTTTCTAGATATACTTTCCTTCTAAGAGGTATTTTGATTCTTCTTACCGTACTTACCAGTACTTATAGTTTTCTACAAATTTCAGAAGTAATTGCGTGATTAACTTATTTCTACTCGCTATAGATAGGTTTGTTGACACTCGCACTTTAGAAAGCACTTCAAAATAACGTAATTTATAAGTACGTTTCTTTAACATTTAATAAGTATCTAAAGTACGTACCTTCCATAGGATTGTCTAAACGGTCACAATTTTTTAAAAAAGAAGCACTGTACCTACAAACATTCATTAACTGGTAGTAGTACCTATAAATGCTACTGCTAAATATACCTACTTTGCTAATAGCACAGATTACCGTACACTATAAACCGTCGTAATATTAATATAAGCACTAACCATGCGATATACCTATACTTAACGTATTATTTGTTTGTGTCGTTTTGAAACAGTCTCTCGTACATTACAAGTTAAAGAAGTTATTTGATCACGGAAAAAGCCATTTCTATTTATGGATAACCCTGGTTTCAAATGTATACGTAAGAAGCTTCTAAAAAAGGCTGGAATAAGACATCAAAGTTGCACTTTCCTGTTTCGCTCGAGATTGCTATTGAAATAGATTCTAAATTGGGACCAATATGACCTTAATATGCAAGAACAGACAAGGGGTGCGAAAGGGGTATTCTACCGTTTCGACAGAAAAAGTGTCATCACCGGCAAACAACTGGAAGTTATAATATATCATTGTGGTTTATCTTTATTGGTGGTTTTGTTTTACTTTGGTTATCTCACCATGTTTATTATAGTAACGTGGAATTAGTAGATTATCCTTCCTTGTTTGATATGTATGTTCCGTTCTTAATCTATAGTCCTTGCTTTTATAATGGTTAATTATATTATCAAATTCATAGTGGTACCTAGTGGTGTTAGTGTGTTACATTTTTCTAATACTTTCCCATGCTGGCAGTAGCACAAGAATGGGCTTCCGGTCAAGCATGTGGTAGAATCAGGATGTCAGCGAAGCAGTCAAAGCCAAAAAGAAAGCGTTTAATATATATCTTAGATATCCCACAAATGAACACCTTATAGTCTTTAAAAAATACAAGCGCAAATGCCTATAGAGCGAGTAAAAGTATCATCCGCAAAGATATGTTCTTAAAAAACACGATGTAAATCGTTAAAAGACCGAGTATGGAACCCTGAGGCACCCCCGACTGTAGTGTAACAGCATTTTATCGATGATTTCCCATGCACACCATCTGTTTTCTGTTACATAAATAGCTATGTAGAAATGCACTAGGTAACATAAAATTGACACAAGCAGAGAATGATGCACAGTGTCGAATGTCTTGGAATAGTCAAGAAGCGCCAGTAATAAACATGAAATATCTATTGTGTTATACTAAAATGTTTATACATACTAGGAAACGTGAATAAACAAGAATCGCATACGATTTTCAGTAGGGGAATTTTTTGTCACATCGCTCGTATTCGGAAACCAGACTTTTGATCCGGCTCGTATTCAATCTGTCTCTTTTCGTTCTCAAGTTAGACGAGAAACAGACGAACAAAACCATCATATAAGGGCCAAAAAATTACTACCGAAAATAATAAGGGGGATCAGCTGACCAGTTGACATTACCATAGAATGAATTGTTTCCAAATGACCTTTGGCTGTTTTAACCGTGAAAAATACTACAAGCAAACAATATTTTTCGATAAATTTGTTTGGATCGTACATTTTTGTTTAGCGAATTGGCAAGTTCAACAGCTCAATTGAAAATCTGAGACGACTTATTCTGGTGATACTACCCCATATCCCAAAAAAGGGATACTACTGCGCGTTTTATTGATCCGAGAAGTTCTGTGGCATAATTATACGGCCTTGTTAGTGGCTTCTTACGTAAACATTTGTAATGGAGATCCTATGCAAATACTGTTATCAACCATTCGTTTGATGTGAGTTAATGGACTATGTAATGTAGTGTGGGTATACATTACTAGTTTTATTTAAAAACTATTGTAACGTTATTTATATATGCGGGTTCGATTTATATCAATATTTATTAAACAAAACTAAAACACTATAAAAATCCGTACAATTTATATCGATTATTTATATCACACACTTCGAAATTTATATCAGCTTTTCGCGCTCGATGTTTCCGTACTCGTTCGATAGTAGACTGCCGCGATGTTCGGTCCGCAACCATTTATACACGCAAGCAATGTAAGTCCAGTACATTCTCGAATACGCGTAGAAAATTCCAGAGCGCCAAAGGCGACGTCATGTCTGGAGCATTTCCGTTACACTGCCCCCTTCTTAATTCTGGACGTCTCGTTCAGAAACTGCGTTAGTATTACTTTTTAATGCCTCGTGTCGGAATCTGCAGTCAGAGCCTGCTCGACAAACACCTTTCTTGAAAAAGTAACAGTCCACAGTTTTGCGGAGGGTCGTCCCCTGTGGGTTGAAGCAGCATACTGTAATTCGAACGCTAGTGTTTCTAAAAATCACTTCGATCATGGTTCGCACTATTTTCCAGTCCAACCCATCTAAACCACATCCAATCTTCGGAATCGTCAAGCTATTTATGTCATAGTATGCCATGAGTTTCCTTAAGCTTTTTAAAGCAGACCAGAGGTTTTCATAGGTGGGTTTGCCTTCTGACGTTTTCTTTGAAACCAAGTAGAACAAAGAGCGTTGACTATTTTCCAAGCGCAGTACTTTACCCACTCGTGGTCTTTGCTTTAACAACTCGTCGATTCTTCCAAATCTTTTCCGGAATACGGAAGCTATACCTCTACTCATGCGAAGGTCTTCGGCGACACAATGGGCGATGGAAACGTTAATCGGAAGCTCAAAAATATTTTGACAAATTTCCTGAGTAACGCCAAATCGAGCTTTCTTCCGCTGGGCGTAATTTGACATAAAATCGTTAAAGTTTGGCTCGATCCCAAAGCTGCGTTCCTCTTCTCGAATACCTCTAACTTCTTCGTTGTTGTTGGATCCGGCATATCGTGCGAGTCGATTAATGTGGACAACTTTCGGTTTTCGGTGGTTCATTCTGATACGATATATCACGTCATTTATTTTCTTGATCACCTCATACGGACCTTCCCATTGTCTTTGTAGCTTGGGAGAAAGACCCCTTCGTCTCTGTGGATTGTGCAGCCATACCAGATCTCCAGCTTCAAAAGTTTCATTGACCGAGCGGAGGTTGTATTGATTTTTCATGCGATCGCTGGCAATCTGAATATGACTTCTAGCCAAGTCGTGAATATCGTTCATCTTCGCCTTTAGTTGGTCAACATAATTTTCACCTGCGACATATTCTTCATGGGGTTTACGCCCAAACTCGAGATCACATGGAAGGCGTAGTTCACGACCCAACATAAGGCAGGCAGGAGTCTGACCCGTGGTCTCGTTGACGGCTGATCGATATGCCATAAGGAACAGGTGGAGGTACTGGTCCCAATTTTTCTGATGTTCTGCCACGACTTTTGAAAGATATTTACCCATCGTTCGATTCATTCTCTCCACCATTCCATCTGACTGAGGATGCAAAGGTGTTGTTCTTGTTTTATTGGCTCCTACCAATCGACAAACATCTTGGAACAAAGCCGATTCAAAGTTCCTTCCTTGGTCTGAATGGATTTCTATAGGAACACCAAAACGTGTAAAGAACTCCTTTACCAACACTTCTGCAACTGTTGCTGCCTCTTGGTTTGGAATGGCGTAAGCTTCAGTCCACTTTGTGAAATAATCCATAGCGACTAGGATATATTTATTTCCGCCATCTGTCTCGGGAAACGGTCCTGCGATATCGATAGCAACTCGTTCCATCGGACTACCAACGTTATACTGCCTCATGGGTGCCTTCTTCTTGGAAACTGGTCCGTTTCCAGTAGCACATAACTCGCATTTTTGACACCATCGCCGGACATCTTCTTTATGGTTGACCCAATAGAATCGCTCACGTACCCTTTGCAACGTTTTCGTAATACCAAAGTGTCCTCCGGAAGCGCCGTCATGCAATTTTCGCAATACTTCCGACACTTTGCTTCTAGGTACTACTAATTGCAGCGTCGATTCGGTGCCATCTTCACTTTCAAGGGTCAGGCTATTCCATTGGCCCCAATAACTCTTTACTTCAGGACTTGTGGCACTAATGTCTTGCCAGTCTGGTCTTTGTCCGTGGCGCATCCAATTCAGAACAGATTTTATACTTGGGTCGTTTTCTTGGGCCGTTTTGATTTCGCTTGGCTTCCACTCCTCACTCTCTACAGTTGTTCGCCGCAGATGGCCAATCTTGTCTTCTATTTTAGAACAATGTGTGCAGTTGTCCTTGCACGGTCTTCTTGACAAAGCGTCTGCATTATTGTGAACTTTTCCAGCCCTGTGTTCAATGTCGTAGTCATATTCCTGAAGACGTTCTAACCATCTTGCCACCTGTCCTTCTGGGTTTCGGAACTGCAAGAGCCACTTTAGCGCTGCATGATCTGTCCTTATCAGGAACTTGCGGCCGTAAAGGTACTTATGGAAATGTTCGCATGCCTTTACCACACCCAGGAGCTCTCGCCTAGTCACACAATAATTCCTCTCGGGTTTCGACAGTACTTTGCTGAAATAGGCAATAACTATTTCCTGTCCGTCTTGCAATTGAGAGAGAACAGCTCCAATGGCGGTGTTACTGGCATCGGTATCTAGCACAAACTTTCCTTCATTTCTGGGGTAGCCAAGGATAGGTGCGCTAGTAAGAGCCTGCCGGAGATGTTCGAAAGCTCTTTGACAGTCTTCATTCCATTCGTACTCATTGCCTTCTTCTGTCAACTTTATTAATGGTTTGGCAATGTTGGCAAATCCTTTCACGAATCGTCTATAATAGGTGCACAAACCGAGGAAACTTCGAATCTCGTGCTTGTTCTCAGGAATCGGCCACTCTTGAATCGCTATAATCTTCTCTGGGTCAGCTGTAACACCATCACGAGATACGATGTGCCCCAAATATTTAACTTCTTTTTGGAACATAAAGCATTTCTTGGGACTTAGTTTTAAATTGGCCTCTCGTAATCGTCCAAACACCTCTCTCAGGTTCTTTAGGTGTTCTTCAAAAGTTTTTCCTACGACAATTACATCATCCAAATATACCAGACATGTCTGCCACGTTAGTCCCCTTAGAACTGCTTCCATAAGTCTCTCAAACGTCGCGGGGGCATTACACAATCCGAAAGGCATTACTGTGAATTGCCAAAGTCCAGAGCCTATAGAAAACGCGGTCTTCTCTCGGTCTGTCGATTCCATCCCCACTTGCCAATAACCACTCTTTAGGTCGAGTGTGGAAAACCATTGGGCTCCAGATAGAGTGTCCAAGGTGTCGTCTATTCTTGGCAGTGGATAGCTATCTTTCTTGGTGACCGAATTTAATAGACGGTAGTCAACGCAAAATCTTGTGGAGCCATCCTTCTTCTTTACAAGCACTATCGGTGATGACCAAGGACTATTCGATGGCTCGATGACACCTTGTTTTCTCATGTCTCTAATAATCTCCTCAGCTTC